TAAATTATTTTAAATCACCAAACACTAAGGAAGTTGGATAGAGATGAACCTTTGAACGTAATTTCCTACCAGGGCACAGAATGCTGACTATAAGTATATTAATCTGGAATAGGCCAGAGCCATATTATGCGTCCTCTAGGGTCTATCTTTTAATTTCTATCAGATGGTGATTTTTATTTACAGAACTCAGAAGATTTTTCCTACTAGTTAACTGAGTAACACAGTGAGTGGTTTTCTACATAGTTTGCTGAGGCACACAGATGCTCAGTTAGCTTTTCAGCATGTTGTGGTTTGGGCCTGATTGGCAGCCAACCACAATGTAGCACCTCTCTCTCCCTTCCCCTCCGGCAATGAGAAGGGACAGAGAGCCAGGCTTGGGGTTCAAGATAGGACTGGGATGGGGAAAAATCCCCCTTTTATGATCACGAGCAAAAGGCAGACTCGTTAGGGGAAGAAAAAAAGAACATACATTTATTACAGACACTAACAACACATAACAGAGTAGGACAGTGAGAAGCATTGCCACATCTTGAGAACACCTTCCCCCCACCCCTCCCTTCTTCCCGGGCTCAGCTCTGCTCCCGATATCTCTACCTCCTCCCCCAGTGGCGCAGGGGCAGGGAATGGGGGGTGCAGTCAGCGCTGCCACTTCCTTCATCTTCGGTGAGGGGAGTGTCCGAAACATGTTCCCCCCTGCTCCATTGTGGTCCCCCTTTCACAGGAGACAGTCCTCCACAAACTTTCTCTGACTTGAATTCCTCCTATGGGCCGCAGCGTTCCCCACACTGCTCCGTCATGGGTCACTAACTTCCTCCGACTGGATTCCCTCCCACGGCTGCAGCCCTTCCCGAGCTGCTCCGGCGTGGGACTCCCCCGCATGCTGCAATCCTCCCAGCACTGAATTACAGCAGCGGGGCTGCCTTTTCCCATGAGACCCCGGCCTTCTTCGGGCACAGCACCTTGATTATTCCGAGCAGGAGCAACAGGCCATAAATCAGTGTCTGCTCCACCATAGATCTTCATGGGTGGCGGGGGGGGCCGCCCTGCCGTCTCACCACGGGATACAGGGGGGTCTCTGCTCCGGCACACCTCCCCCCTCCTTTCTTCCTCCGTTCCTCCACTGACCTTGGTGTTCACGCAGCTGCAGCAACTCCTCCTCACAAGTCCCACTGCCCGTCACCATGTCCCTTCTTAAATACGTTATCGCAGAGGCGCAGCTGATTGGCTCAATTTCCCAAACAGAAGTGGAGCTGACGAGGAGCTGGGGGAGCTTCAAGAAGCTTCTCACAGGGGGCCGCCCCGATAGCCCCCTCCCCTGCCACCAAAAAAACTCCACCACTCACTCAACCCAGGACACAGCATAAGGTCCAATCATTGTGGTGCAGGGAATATAATCAATCTGTCTTCAGTTTTATTCTTTTGCTGCAACCGTTCATATTTCTTGACACCAGAATCAATCTAGAGACAAATACAATTTTCATTTTCTTTAGAAAAATTATACTTGCCTTTCCAACTAAAATATTGGTGGAAAGGATTCTAAAGTATGCTGATTAACATGCTGTTTTCTCCATCCTCCCTCCCTCAAAAAGAAACCCTTTGCAAAGTAGCATATATCCTGCTTTTATTTGCTTGCTCCTTCAGGGATTTAAGAGTTGCTACCGAGAGCAAAGGGGAATTTCTATCCATAGGCAAGGGAGGCTATGTTCTCAAGTGTGGTCAAAAAAACCACATGGTCTCATTTTATGTCATATTCTCTTCTATTTATACTGTTCGCTTCTATTTCGTTAAATTAAATGGTAATTATCTTCTTTCATGCATTTAAGTTCTTTAGAACGGGAGGGAAATTACTAGGTACTAATCACTAGGATTCTTAGTCATTAGCTGCTGAATAGAAATGGGCATTCTTCCACCTGCTGTTGACCCTTATTTCAAAATACAGCTCGTTTATCCTGAGAATGAAAGAAGATATTTTCTACAGAATGGGGGTGAGAGAAAAGAGAGGCTCAGACAGAAATCATTATGCAGAACAGGCACCCTCCTGGTGCCACTGTATTTTCCCCTCTCTGGAAAGCAGAAAGGTTCCTTTCTTGCTTATTAATTTTTATGACATCCAGATGAGAAAATAAAGTTCATTTTCACAAGTGCTTTACATTAGAAGTCTTAAAAACCCACCATCACTACCAAAGAAAGTAGAAATCCCAACCCTGGAAAGGAAATCATTAAATAGAAGACATGCAGAATATAGAAATATGAAAGTTAACTGAAATACAAGGACTTACTAAGAGATTCACAGCCTTAGCCTGTGAACAGAGCTTGCTGAAACATGGATTGTTGTCTGCTGTTTCTATATGGATTCTTGAAGTGTATGCTATTGGAGTGGTTTCTCATAATGGGTGACTGATTTGACTATCATTTGCCATGGGCTTTTCTTTCATTCTTTTCCCACAGGAGAATATGTGATGCAATGTTTTGGTTCAGTCACTTTTGTCTGTTCTTTTTTGTGTTGCCGTATATTTGTGTTGGAGAAGTCTGAGTCAAAGAAGTGTTCTTTGGGCTTTAAGTGGGAAAGGGGTAATGTTTGGATGGTCACCAGTTGCTGGGGAAGCTAGGGTAAGGGCTAGGTAAGATAGTTACTGCTAGAACATGACATCTGTAATATGGTTTTCAGTTTGAAGGAGATCGGGAAAAATTCTCTGGAAAGTTTAGCGCTCCTTCAGAAATTCAGAACATTCACTCTCACTCTCACACAGAGCTTTTGAGGGGCTCACAATTCCGAACAGGACAGATACGAGTTGTCAGGGTAGATCAGTCACATTTAAGCAGGATTTACAGATTTATAATGAGGTAGGATACCACTATGTTCCTTGCTAGCTTTATTGCTAGTTGTAGATCCCAGGACATTAATAAAGCTGTTTCTAACCTTAGGATCAGATTTGGCAGCAATTATGGATCCTTATAGGAAGCCCTTTAGGCCACACCTGTGTAGCCTCTATCAGGCATGCCAGTGGATACAGGCTAGTTCCTGGGCAAGTGGCACAGCCTATATTGTATCTAAGGCCTTTTGGAAGGAGCTGTGCCCTATCTGCATTTAAGCAGGACGGACCTTCAGCATGACAAGTATTCGGAAACCTTTTCTGTTTCTCCCTGTTTCATTCATGTCTGTGATGACTCCTCCATACCCTTTGTAAGGCCACAGGCCTGACACACCTCTAGAGTATCTCATCACAATAACTGGACAGTCATGCGATGCATTGACATGGGTGCTAGTACTCCTAGGGAAACTTAAGACCAGAGGCCTGTCTTTGGAGCCATCCAAACCCAAAATAAAAAGGCAAGCGATCTGTGATGGACTAGGTGAAGTCTACACTCCCTGTATTCCCCAGTACACTTGGTTAGGGACTGCAGGCAAAGGGGATTGTTCCACCTGGCAGACTTCCCTTTTCTTTCCTGTTTCCCATTGCTGGTAGAGCCCAGACTTCATAAAGTAGAGGAGGATGAACAGCAGTCACTAGTGGGACTTTCTCACAGCATCAGGTTGTCAACAGCAGGTGCAGGACACTTGCATGAGGAGTCCCACACTTGAGGTCCCACGTGGGGGGAATACACACTGCCCCAGACTGACAGCGTATCACTTTTGTGACCCCCTCACCTCAGTAAACATGATGGGAGTTGTTGTCCCCTGGCTGCCCTGACTCCTGTCATTAAGAGACAGTTCAGGATGGGAAAATCTGATGCTCACATCTCACAGCTTGAACCTGGGTGTCATCCCTTTAAAGGGAGCTGCCTATCCAGGCATATGGCTGCATGCCAGGAGGTGGGAGTGAAACATGGTAGTTTCATAAATTCCTAGAGAAGCACGTAACTTCAGCTGCTCGCTATTTTACTGATTGAGTCAACAGCTAAATCCCAAAAGGCACATCCAGAAATAAAAGGCCTCCATTAAAAAAAAAAAAAAAAAAAGAGAAGGATCTTTTAACAAGTCCTTCTTGTTAAAAGGAAGACAGAAAGCTTCCCAAGGCAACCGTAAGCCACCAGCTTGGCAGTGCAGGCTGTAAGGCACAGACCGGCTGTGCCAGGACACGGTGCACCGAGGCGTTGACCAGCGGGGCCGGGATCACAGCATGGGGACCTGTGGTGAGCTGCCCCTGGGGTGATCCAGGCCCAGCCTTAAGCTTTTTGCCCTAACAGGACCTTCTCCCTACTTTGAGCAAAGCAGCTCTTCTGCCACCTCCCCAACAATACAGTTGCCAGAAAATTTGCTCGCAGTAAAGCTCTGCTTGCAGCACCAGCAAATACTCACCAGCATTAGCACCCCCAGGCCTGGCTGTCCCTGCCTGGCCCCCCGGGGCTCCCCCCCGGCCCAGCACCCCACGTCAGCCCCCGGGGCCGTCAGCCCCTACCCCAGCGACACCACAGCAAGGCCGGTCTCCAGCTCCCCACAGCCCTGCCCAGCCACGGGCCCCACCGAGCTGCAGGCCCAGGAACCTCCCCATAAAACAGGTTTGCTCATTCTTCATCCCCTTGGTTGCTATTATTCCAGTTACTAACATACATTAGATTGTCTTCCCTTTTGCCTCTGTTCTGCAGTAAATTACTGCAAGACTGAAAGATGATTAAGTGAATTTTAATACAGGAATGCCAAATGCTCATGTAGCAAATGGAACATTGTAAATTAAAACAGCCAAACCATCACAGGGTACGGGCCAACGCTCAGAAGGCTCCCTTTGCTACTGCACACCACAGTTTGGAGCAACTCCACTGAACCCACAGGGGCCTTGCCCTTACAAAAGGGCTGAAAATGGTGGAAAATCAGACACACGGACAAGTAATTAATTCATCTGTAAAGCCTAATACTATCAAATGGTTGAAATGATTGCTGAAAGAAGTAAACAAAACCAAAACCCTTCTTACTGTAAATGGCCTTCCAATTTGTGTATTTACAGCTGTCTGAAGTCCCCAAGCGTGGATTTGTGTATTTCACAAGAAGATAAACGTTTTCATAGTTTTTACTAAAGTTCTATTTGTTGTCAAAAATTCATCGGATGGATTTCGCCTTTATTTTGCAGTGCAAATTGCCCAGAAAGCCCCCATTTCAATCACTCTCGTCACACGACTTCACGGACCTTTGTGTGCCTCTCCTCTCTCCGCAGTGTTTCACCTCATGGATTGCGTCAGGCTCTCCACCGTCACCACTGCTTTGAGAAACCACTGCTCGCCGTCACCTTTTCCCGCGTGTGACTGGCCCCGGAAACATCTCCTCCGCTCCGCAACAGTTTCTAAACCCAGTAAGACTTTTTAAAGCAGTGGCGCAAGCACTGCCCGTGCAAGTACTTGTGCTCGAAGTCACCCGAACCAAAAAGTTTTCATTAGTTTCCCCCGCCCCCCCTTTTGGACCTTCCTCCACCACCCTTTACACAAACGCCCGCTATAGGCACCCGAACTCCCTCACAAACCCCTTGCGGGGCTTTAACCTACCCAATACACTTCAACTTCGCTCCTCATAAGCGTAACCCAAATCACCCCCCCCCCACGCCCGCCTCACGGGGCCAGCCGGCTTTGCCTCGGACGGGCGGACGGACACACAGACCCACCAACCCCTGCGCCCGCCGCCAATGACGCTCCAGCCTCGTCCTTGACCCGCCCCCAGCCACGCCCCACTGAGGGCGAACGGCGCTTTCCCCGCCCCTTTGCCCGGCGGGCGCTGTTTGCGCCTGCGCCGCTCCTCGCCCTCCCGTTGCTTTTTCCGCCGGCGCGGCGGGGCGGGGACAACTGTCACCTTCCTCCGGTCCCATTGGTCGCCGGCCGGGTCCGGGTGGGTGCGCGCGCATCTCGGTGCCCGCCTACCTCTCCGGTGCCCGTGGGGGGGGTCCTTCCGATTTCGCCAGCCGCCCCGGGGTCGCGAGCTCCTCCGTTACCCGCCCCGCTGCCGCCCGCTCTCCCCTGCCCTGTCCCCCCCACGCCCGCCGTTGCCGCCGCCGCGCGGAGGGGCCTGCCCCCAGCGGGGAAGGACGCGCGGCCGGCGTTCCCCTTTCGGTACGTCGGTGGCGGTTGGCTCTGCTCCCCCCTCCCCTCGCCCCTGCGGCTCCGGGGGCGGGCTGCGGCGGGGCGGCCGCCCCCCCGGGCTCGGGCGGGCGGTGGTCGGCTGGTCTGCCCGCCCGCCCGCTCGCCCTGCGCGCCTGGCGACCCGCTGGCCGTAGCGCGGCGGGGCGGCCTTGCCGCGGCCGGCGGCGGGGCTGGCGGCCTGGGCGGGTGCCCCGGGGAGCGGCGGGTGCGCCGGCCCGGCTGTGCGGTAACGGAGGGGGGAGGAGGGGGGGGGGGTGGTATGTGTGCGGGTTGCGGCGGGGGACAGGCAGACCGCAGCCTCCTTGACCTCTCCGGTGGCGGGAGGTGGAGTTGGCGTCGCCGAGGAGAATGCTCACCCGCTGCGGGCGCCGCTTTTCCGAGTTTCAAGTTAACTTTCCTCGATAGGGACGACGAGACCTGCCGAAGCCCGGGCAGGGGGGCGGGAGGGGTCGGCAGTGGCACCGGGGGGGGGGGGGGGAGGGGGGTTCAGGCCCGCGGGCTGCCGGTGTGGCGGCTGGGCAGGGAACGCGGGCCCCGGCGCCGTGTCACCTCTCCAGACCGGCCCCGGCTGCTTCAGGTGCTTCTGTTCGCAGGCTCGGTGCTTCACGTAGACGCCGTCGTCTCCTGGCCGTCGGAGTTTTACTCAGAGCAGTTCGCCCTAGTTTATGCATCAGAGTGCGGTGCTGAAGCTGGTGTGCAGATGCAGACCTGGTGATGCAGGAATCCTTTCTTTGGTTTAAGTGCTCGCTGTTGGGGTTTGCTTCTTTTACTCTCGGCAGCAGTGTGTACACGAGTAGTAGTTTGAAAGACTCACGTTTCCTTAATTCTCTTGTGTTTGAAATTCAAACGCAGCAAGATTTGTGTGTTCCTGAATGTTTCTTTTGACTTTCATGAATTATAAAATTTAGGGTTTGTTTGATTTGTTTTTGTTTTTTTCATAAGAACCTTTTAGAATTGTTCCAAATTCTAGGACTTCAGCCCTGTTCCAGCATAAATGCCTTTAACATTAAGATGTGGGATACTGGATTCAGTAGCTTAGAGTATTTGCCTCTCATCTTCCTACATTTCTTTAAAAGTTGTATGCAGAAGCTGAATTGACATGGGTATCTAAGTATCTTCCTGTCTCTGTTGACAAAGATAGTGCTGTAATGTAAGGTCATAAATCTGTTGCTGTGTTCAGGCTCTGGATAAAAGTAGTATTTTTTTACAACAGGTTACTACTACTTTGACTATTTAAGCATGAGTATGTAGCTAGTAGTTTCCCAGATAGGTCTAATATTCCATATTCTAATATTCTGCTTTTTCATGTGCATTTTTTAGCAAGTCTACTTTATTTTCTAGTATTTATCCATAAAATCTGTTCACTGCCCAGGTTCAGTCAAGGAGCTGGACATGTATCTTGACTTAGCATTGCAGTTAGGCAAAATCAGTAAGACCATGCATTTAGTTTGCTGATTGGTCCCACCGAGATGCTTGCAGAGAAGCCCTTACTTCTTCTGTTGTGCAGTTTGCATATCTGGGTCCCAGGATGCGCGGTTTCCTGGAAAAATAAAGTATTCAATATTAGTAGGAAGGTCATTTAGGGACTTCTAAGGACAGAATTTGATAGCTTATGCTCTAAACCATATTTTATATAATGTCAGATTCAGACTAGCTGTGTGTCAAGTTTGCTTAGTTTCATCTCAATGTAGGCTTTGAGAAGAAGGAAAAATTTTGTGTATTTTGTTCCCTACACCCACCTCCAAATCTCTTGTACCTCCTGCGCTTTTGTTTGTGGAGTTTCTTTTGCCGTCTCCTTCCACCCCCACCTTTGAGGGATTCTACTGCTTCTCATTTTGTATCTGTCCCACAAGATTCTGAGGAACAGCTGTGAAATCTTGCATTCTTGTTGATCCCTGACTGGTGAAATGGTAAGATATAGTGCAAAGCAAATGCTTCACGTCCAGCTTTGTGTGATGGCAGAGGGACAGGAGAGGCTTTGTAAAACTAAGTGCCTTTTGAACATGTGTTCAAAAGTGCATATGTCTGTGTCCAAATCTGATGTAAGTTTAGCAGATACTGCACAGTGAAATTTCAGTGTGGGCATTTGATTTTATAATACTTAATGCTGAGTAATATACTTTGTCTCGCAGAGACTGAAAATACTGTTGAGAAAACGACAAAATGAGTAGTCGTCGAAAACGCGCGCCTCCATCAAAAATAGATGAGGAGAAGAAGAAAAAGCTCTGCTGGAATATGCATGAAGATCGGAAAAATGAGATGATAACAGATGATGAAATGACTAATGAGGACCACGTTCCAGGTCCAAGCACTACTTCTGCATCCTTCATTGTTATAAATGATGATAGCACTGATGATCTCATTCAAAAAGAAGCCAGTGGCTCAAAATCTGTTAAGTTTTTGACGGTGAACGATGAAGAAGACTCTTATTCCATCTTGACTCCTGTGTCAGTACAGCTAAATATTATAGTCTTGCCATACCGTGCGGATGGGTGCTGGAAAGCTTTGTTGGGAGAATTTGCTCTTCATCTTCCTTCTGAGCAAATTCTAACAGATGAATTCCATGAAAGGAGCTTTACTTTGATGAGAGGAGACTCTGATGATCAGCTGCATGTCTGTGTTCATGAAAGAAGTGAAGAAGAGTACAGTTATGAAACAAAAGAATACCTGGGTGCTTATGAACAACGTATTTTGGTGGAAACAACTCTAGAAGGTGAAATATTGGAAGGCTTGAGATGGTTGCAGAAGAAAAAGATAATTGGACTTTATCAAAGACCTGGGGAGGCTCAGGCTTTAAAGGTATGGCTTCATATATTTGTTTTGCGTTTCAGAAGTTCTTTTTTTTGTTGTTGTTTGAAGTAGAAAATAAAGACTTCTGAACAACAAAGTCTGGAAGCTACCATATATTTTTATAATGTGATGAAAATACACAGTTTCTACATGCTTTTGTAAATGTTTTCAGTGTGTTTTTTCCTAAAATTTTCTTTTTACTGTTGCACTGTTAGTAATTCATTACCCAGGGGAATCACAGAAGCTTTCAGCTACAATGTACTGTATCCTTTATATAGTGATTTTAGTAGATACATTTTCTGTCTATATCTGCTAATTTTCAAAGCACTGTTGTTATTTTCATGCTCTTCTGTTTATAGTATTCTTGTCATTCTAACAGTTAATTAAATGATTAACTAGATAACCATTTCATAGGTTGGAATTTACCTTCTGGAAGCTGGGCTAAGTAAACCAGAGTTTCTCAGCGATGGAGGTGGAAGACCCAAAAAAGCTAATCAGCTGATTCAAAAACTCATGGAAAAGTTCTATAGTTTTTTAATTCCAGGTAATGCAATTCAGTTGAATGTTGATGAATTTTTGTTATTAAAGTGTGTATTTTTTCAGTAGTTTTAAATATAAGGGAAAATAGTAAGTTAGTTCTGCCATCTAGAGCAACTTTTATTTACAAGGTAATATTATTAGGTAGTTCTCTTCATATTATTATTATCTGACCATTAATCATATGCTAATTAGTTTATGGTCAAATTACAGGTGATAATATTCCTTCTCTACAGATAAGGTACTGAGGCACATGGGAGCTTGAGTCCTTATGTTTTTGGAAGTCGATACCGTTTTCAGATTCGTGTGGGTTGTTTGAACAGATATACAATAGCTTGTCCAAGTTACACACAAACTGCTTAAAAAGAACTAGGAATTAAATTTAGAAAACTTTTGTTCCTAAGTTTGGTGCCCAACACACAACTGTGGCTGCGGAATATCTGTTTGGTTTATGTTGTAAAGCAGCTATAATGTAAATTGATACAAAATGCACCTCTGACAGCTTTGAGAATACACCACTGCAAATTTACAAATATGGGCCTTGTCATCGTTTTGAAATTGGACATATGTTTACCAGACTGTGAGGAGATTGATGACGCAGACTCCAATATTAAGATCGAAGTCACTTTATTATTCAGAAAGCTGTGTTTTTATCCCCCTACAAAGTTGTCCACACCTCCAACATAAGTGCTTATTGGTTAACATACATTACTCACACACCTATTCTAAACATTTGATTGGCTATCTTAACTACACATGTTTTTTTCCCTTATCACTATAACTTGCTTTTTTACATTTTTTGCTCTGGGTGTTCTTCCAAAGTCATCTGTTGTTCACTGATAACTTTCTTATTTTTCTGTTATTCAAAACCCTTATTTTTCTGTTATTCCAAAACCTTCAAGCTCTGTTGTTGCCTTATTTTTCTGTTATTCAAACCCCTTATTTTTCTGTTATTCAGAAACCTTCAAGGTCTGTTGTGACCTTACTTTTCTGTTATTCAAAAACTTTCAAGGGCATCATGACCTTTGATGTAAAATGTCTCCACAAGACTATACTTGTTAGGGATACAGATTTTTCAGGCAATCAATGACTGCTTTATAGTGTGATGACTTAGGAAACTTAAAAAACACAACCTTGGTCTTGTTCCTGATTGGAGAATGGATTCAAAATGTTAGTTGAAGACTGACTTAATACCAGTGACTGTGATTTACTGAGTTTCAGTGTTTTTGCAGAAGCAACAGAAGCCTAGTACCACCCGTATAATTATACTTGATCTCAAAAGACAGAATTGTATAAAAAAATTAGGCAACTTGCTAAAGAGAAGCTAAAAGGAAGAGCTAACACAATAAAATCTGTATATCCATGCCTGTTGCAAAGAACAAGTGTGCAACTGTCAGAAAAGACTTGAGATATACCAAGAGAAGGGCCAGTAAAACTAAGTATGTGGAGAAGGGAAGATACTGTACGTAAGAAACCATCCTTCAGAAAACTGAAGTAATCTGACTGAAGCAAACTTGTCAGTTTAGGTTTGAGAACAACAAAGCAGATCCAAAAAGAAGTCTGAAGAATAAATAGTTTAAAAAACAGAAATGAATAGTAATGTTTTAAAATGCATTAGGAGAAATAAATTATAAATGCATTAAAAGCAGTATATCTGTCAGAATTCATAGACTTGAGATGACTAAGACATATGAAAGTGTGTTCAAAGTAATGCTATTGCAGGAAGCACAATTTTCTTCTCTACATATCATGGTGGAGGAGTTGTGGAAAGAGATTGTGTACGGACAAAATTAACAGTGACCTATTTTGAGATCAAAAATAATTTTCTGCTGGAACCTGGGGTGTTGTCCTCAATATACTAAAGGATAGATTTTTATGGACTATGTGGTTCAGTATAGCTTGCAGGTGAAGAGGTTACATAGCTTCTGAAAGGGAGGACATGCCCCTCAAAGTTACTGGAGCAAGATTGTGGACCTGAGTGATCGGGGTGTTAAGCTGTAACTTAACCCTTTCAGGAGCCACGCAGCCAGTGCAGGTTCATGAAGGAGCGGTGTTGCCAACTGGTAAATTTTCTGTCCGTTTTTCAGCACGTATGTTTTGAAGTGGTGTAAAATAATAATAAAGTCTGGATTCTATGCCAATCAATGCCATATAAATGACTAAGTAAAATAGAGGGTGTGGAGACTAGAAATAAAGGGTTGTTGATGTGTACGAAGATCGCTAGTCAAGTCCTACAAAGGCACGTGCAGTTTAATGTATTCCTAATGCTTTGGGAAATACAGTGATTGGTGAGGTGATATCATTAACAAACTTAAAATGTATTATTCAGCATAAGAGATTAAAAACGATTGAAAGCTTGCAAACAGACTAGGCAGTGGAGATTCAATATAAATTCAATATAGATATAAAGCGATTCAGAAGAAAAAAGATCCTTACTTCACATTAGAAAACAATGTTGGCCTCTTTGCTAACTGCTGCAACTAGGGCTGTAGTTTAATGGGTGGATCTGTAGCTCAGTAAATGCATCAACTTAGTGTCCGTCAAACCAAATCAAAGGTAAATAATTGTTCTGGAAGTATTAGAGAATAAAACAGGAGCATTAAACCACTGTAAAAGTCCGCAGTGTGCATTATGCTGTGCTCTAAATTCAGAAGTAAAGCATGTCACAGAAATGGAAAAGATTTGGAGGGAAGAGCCCAGGAAGCTACACACTGTAAAGCAGTCATATTTTTTTAACAGTTTTTAAGCATGTACTTTTTGATGTAGCATAGAATACTGCAGTCTTGATTCTGCCAATGAATGCATTCCTCTTAAGAAGCGTAAATTGACTTCCATTTCTAACAACTTAGTCTGTGTTTGAATCTCACCTGTTTTTAAGCAGAATTAATTGAAATTTCTGTAAAACTGCATGTAAGTATGTATTTTAACACTTGTCAGTATCCATCTAAAATGAACTCTACACAACAGTATTCCAAGATGAGGCTTCTTGTTCTCCCCATTGATGAGCAAATTCTTATATTAATGGAGTTGTGCACAAGGATTTACAAAAATAAGGGACCTGACCTCTCTATCCCTAAATTTAATTTTTATATCTTTGTTTTCCTCAATGTGCTAGTACTGTTAATGTCCTTCTAGATGCCTTTGTGGCAGGAATTCCATCTCAAGTTACGACAAGTGTAGGATAGATGGCATTAATGAATCTGCAAGAGTGACAAAATATTTACTATGCAGAAGCTTCATGAGTTTTGAACATTAACTGTAGAGTTAACCACTTTGAGAAATTCGTTTACAGACATTTCTTTTGTTTGCTTCAATAATTAGCTGATTTTATCACAGCTTGTATCCTGTATCTGCTGTATAATAATACATATTGCTTCAGTGAACATGGAGGCATAGATCACTTGTAGATCCAGCTATCTGCTTTCTTAATATGAAAAAACCCACAATCTTTAAAATTTTCTAAAAAGACTAAAATGTCTGTTTAATTGCAGTTTTTTCTAGTTAGTGGTAAATGTTTTGGAGTTTGTTTTCCCATAGTGTTATGGAACTATAGTATGACATACAGTAGCATGGCAATAGCACATACCATTTTCCTTCAATTTTCTTAAGAAGAATATATTCTTTGTAAAAAGAGGAGGTTTTTTGTCTTTTTTTATGGCATTTTTTTAATACCAAATGTGAAGCAACAAGTTTCCCATTAATCCAGAATAAAGCAGGGAAGAGATTGCATTTTCCTTGATATAGATGTTCTTACACAGCAATCTGGAAACTGCCCTACAGATAAAATGGAAAGATGCAGTAGCAAAGCTTTAGTTCAGTTATTGAAGGAATTAAGTAGAATACTTGATTATGAAACGTATCAGAGTAACTGAATTTTTGGATAGTACAATACCATCTGTTTCTCAAAGGTAAAATTATGAAGGTGAGAATTGCATTCTGAAATGGTTGAAAGCATAATTAAATATTCACTGTTTATAAAGTAGCTGAGAGCAGTAAATTTTCTCAGCATCCTTTTAAAAATCCCTGTGGTACATAGAACCATTTAGTCAAGGAAAAAAAAATCTTTGAGCAAAACAAGAAAGGTGTGGACAAAACATATCCAATTGTATGAAGAAACATTTTACTTTATATTGTAGTCTTTGCTCCCCAGTAAAATTCTGGATCGAGTTAGTTTATATAGAAGTCAATTTATTATGAAGTGTAAGACTTGAAAACTGTTATTTTAGCAAGTATGATGGTAGGTGACATTATAGATCAACTTCATTGATTGAACCTATACTCTGCAATCACTAATTTCTGTGCTCTTTTCATTCCCTTGGAATGGTTTCTGTGGTATATAAGGCTGCATGCTCTGCTTGGTGCTTTTTGTTTGGCTGGAACATTAATAACCCCACGTGCACTCTGGTTGCCTTCTTTACATTACAAGTCTTTATATATACAGTTTTCATTAATTTATTGGAACTTAATGTCTTCCAGACTTCCCTTTTCCCTTGTGAAGCCCTGAAACTGTTCCACTGAAATAAAAAGATTAGGGGAGGGCACTGATGGCTGCCACACGTAGGAACGTAATTTCCTGCTGTTTGTTTTGGAAACCATTTTTCACTTTCACCATTCATTTGCATGAAAGAAAGCTTTTGCTTTCTGTGAGAGTCCTAATAGCAGCCCCCAAACCGTATTTTAAGGTTAAACTCTTGGGTGTTTGTGCCAGGTACATATCTTTTTTGTTAGCATGAGGTATTGTAATTATAATTTGATTTAATTGTGCCTGCCATTAGCTGTTTTCTCTTTTTATCGGTATATTACACTTTTAAATATAACTTAAGGTCACTTTGTACTGAAAATGCTGGCTTTGACTTCTAAATTTTTTTTTTTTTGAGAAAAATTGAGAAGTAGCTTTATCTCCAATACTAGCTAGATTTAGTATCTTTCTTTGAGCTGTAAAGTTGTACAGCTGTTTTATTGGTGCTGATGTTTTTGATACCTAAAGTTCTGTTAAAACCTGTCCTCTGAGTCTTCTGTTCCTTCCTCTTATGTCAGTTTCCTAAAATGCAGACTCAAATTTTTAACAAATTCTTCTACAGTGCTTAAGTTCTGTGTATACCCAAGTTATATAAAAAATATATAAGCACAAGGCCTTCTTTCCTAGAGGGTAGAAAAGAAGGGCAGGCCTTCTGTCCTAGAGGGGTACCTATTTCTCTTGAGGTGGGATTTTAATTTCTAAAATATGACTTGTCTGAACTTTTCCAATGATGCAAGTAGTAAGAATTTCATGTTGTCCTACTGCTACAATTTTCTTATCCAGATGGATAATTTAAAGTTAATATGAAAGCACACTGAAAAGAATCTCATGGTTGTTTTTTTAAATGTTATTTTATCAAGAAAGACTTTATTTAATGAAAAATACATGAATGTGTTTGTGGTTTTCCCCTTTCTAGAAGATCATTGACCCATGTTAACATTTAAGTCTGAAATGTGAGTTATTTGTGATTCTGTATTAGTTGGAAATGTTTAGTGGAAAGTCTTTATTAAATAAATAAGGTCTGGTCATTCTATCCCTAAATTCTAATGGAAGAGCTTTGCTGATTATATATACTTCTGTGCTCACCATAGCATGTTACTCAGCTTTCAGGAAAGTAGTGCTCATTGTTTCCTACTGCTACTAGCTGAGGCAGGTGCAGTGATGACATATGTTTAAATGATGTTTTGCTTTCATGTGTTAATATGTTGCGGTGAAATTTACTGAAATATTGACCAAAATTGATTGATAATGTGTGTCTTGAATTACTGTATGCAGATGAGCTGGAGGAAGATGAGGAAGAATCTGACACGGAACTAGAGCGACAAAATATTGAAGAGCTTTATGACTTTGTAAGGCACACCCATCAGCAGGATATCCAGTTACTGAGAGAGGATGTGCAGCACCCTGCATTAATTCCTATTCTGAGGCCGTACCAAAGTGAGGCTGTGAACTGGATGCTTCGCCGAGAGACGCTCACAAGCACTCCAAGCAGTGGCAAGTATATGGGTCTGGAAAACTTGTGTAATTGAGGAAAGTGGCATTGTATTGTCAGCAGCAATGTTTTCTTGCTGTTTGATTAGAAACTTTGTTAACTATTTCATTACTATTTCTATAAAAGTTGCTGTTTGTGTAGTACACTGAATGATAAACTAAACTTTGCTGAACAGCAGTTGACGTATTTTGGTGGTCGTGAAGCATTGTGGAGGTGGACGTCTGCTTTTTATCTCTAAATGTCACAATAAGGCTGAGCAATTCTAAGCAGTGTGCTATTTCTAGAGAACCCTCATAATAGTAACATGAACTCTCTCCGTAGAAAATGCACTGCACTTCTTATGGCGGGAGGTCATCACTCTGGATGGAGTAAAAATCTACTATAATCCATTTACTGGCTGGTATGTTTTTTATACTTACCTCTTTCAGAGAGCACCTCATGGTTGTGCTTTGTGAAAACCTTATTGACAGCTTTTACCTGGGGGATGTAAGGTAGTCCGTAACTGGCATTCTTCAGTCGGCAAATTCTAAAGAATTAGAACAGCGATATCTTTAATCTGGGAAAAAAAAAAAAAGGCAAACTGGAGTATATGATGCACAGATAAATATGTTAATTTCAAGTTGAAGATATAATTCTTAAAGCTTTTTTTTTTTTTATTTCAATGCAGATTTGTAGTTTTATGATTAACTTTTTTTTTTTAAATTAGCATGTTGGAGGCTTCAATATTCTGGTCCAATGTTTTTAAAGTCTAAAGGAATGAGGCAGTATAATGCTTTTTGTTAATGCTGGGTACTGCATTACTAGTTCTGTTGCACTTTTCTCGTTAATTTGGTTATAATAGAACCTTTTGATTGCTAGTTTACTTTTTGGGTGTGTTGTTTGTTGTTGTTTTTGTTTGTTTTTTTTTTTTTTTTTTTTCCCCTATATAGCTTTCAGATCTTTAACACATGTGAATATAAACATGTTTCAATTTTTTTGAGACTAATATTGTGATACGCTAAGGTTAGCAAGGCAAGGCCTGTTAGGAGGGGAAAAAAATCCAAAAACTTTTGGCATACATATTCATCTTGATCAGGTTTGTACACAGAAAAAGCTTGCTAACTTTTTTCAATCTCAGTTTATCTAATAAAAGATATTGTCTCACCTGACAAGCTTTTCCTTGCTGAAGTTATGCTCTGTGTGTCGCTGAACACATGCTTCTCTGTCACACCATTCTGTAGTTACTGACTTCCATTTGGGAATGTACTTCAATTTTAGTATTATCCGTGAATATCCAGTCGCTGGACCCCAGTGGCCTGGAGGTATTTTGGCAGATGAGATGGGTCTTGGAAAAACAGTAGAAGTGTTGGCTCTTATTCTGACTCATACCCGACCAGACATTAAACAAGATGATATGACATTACCTGAGGTAAGAAAACCAGGATAAGATTTAGTATGAAAAAAATACTTTTCAGAATTCATGGAAATGCACTTCTTGAGTTTATTGCTTTCTGTTGAATCCATCTTTAAATCTGGACTTTTATAAAAGCACAGTGAAAGTTTTTGCTTTGTAGGATGTTGATACTTGATGGCATAAATAGTGGAATGGTTTTCTTGAGAAGCAATTGATAGTTTGCCATTGTTGAAGGGTGTTAGCAGGCAACTGTGCTGTTAATAGTCTGTTGCTAGTTTACACTCACTCCAGGAGTGTATATATACATAACTTAGTCTACTACCTTAGAACTCATTCTTCCCTTAACTTCAATGTATTGATGTCCATTAGACATACGTTCTATGCTAAAATAGGGACAATTTGAACTCAGTGAATAAAGATTTCTGCTCCCCCTCTATTTCATATAATAAATGGGTTTATTTAGCAGCAGTTTTCCATCTTTTCACTTTCCTCATCATGCATCCTGTGAAAACTTTAGTACATTCACTAAAACCAAAAATTTTCTCTGAAGGGAGAGATCCTTCATCCTTAAGCAAACTCCTACCACTTCTGTAGGTTCCATCCTTTTGAATTCATAGCAGCCAGATTCGTTGTACATCTATTCATAATGATCTCCTGCCTGCTTGTATTTTTATTAGTTAAAAAGACCCAATTCTCAAAGAGAGAATAGGATTCTTAAATTTATCAGAGGGTCAGCACTGAGAATTGTGAAGAGGGGGGAGTAGGAGTGCTAAAGCATCTGAACATCAACTGCCAACAATAGCCAGAGAGCACAGCTTTTGGAGAGCTGGAGTTATGAAACTGTTTCATGATATGTGTAGTTGGGACAGACATCCTGGCTAATATTTTGGGATCTTTATGAACAGAATTATATGACATTGCCTGTGGTTAAAAGGCACTATTCCACTCATCCATAAGACCCCTTGGCATATACATTTTTCATGTCTTCAAATATAAAATGTCTTTGTATGATGTGCTGAAAAAAACCAAACTGAAAGTGCTTTATTCCAACAGAGACTTTCTGGATGAGTCCTAGCTTGTGTAAGCCAATGTCACAGTTACTCCAAGTATTTCAGCTCACTGTAGGGCTCAAACAGTGCCTGGAATTTCATTGCAGTTACTGTTAAGAATTCTGCAAAGCAACCAATTGGACAGGGCAGAGTGAGGTGTTAATGAATACAGCTATAAAAGAGTTAGTTGTAGATACATTAGCACTGTATTTGTTCCAGCTTTGGAACTATTTTTTATATCCCAATTCTTGAGTATACATTTCCTTGAATTAAATCACTGTTCCTGAATCAGTAATAATAAATTTTTGGGAGGCAATCCCTATGAAGAGAAGTGTGTATGTAATACAACTAACTAGGGCTTTTCAATCTCTATTGCTTACCTCCTCCTGCGTTTCTAGCTATATATTAAATATGTATTTTCCTCCACCATCAGTAACCTACATCACTTAACAGCTATAGTTTCCTGCAGCTTAATGCTGAAGTAGTGGAGGACCCAATCAGCTTGCAGTGCTGTTCTTTCTATTATCAGCATGGGGTGCTGAATACCATTTGCCAAGAAGCTGAACTGAATGAGGTATCATTCTGTACATTAAAAATGAGTTATCTGAGCAAATTAGTGAGATCAGAACACACGTCTATAACAGCTCATGCTTATTTTCAAATGTGGAAAGATTAATGACGTTCAGAATTACTGTGAAGAGACATGAGCTAATAACTATTAAATGTTGTCTGCATCAGGGTAAGCTTGTGAACTTCTTTGTTCCACCTCAACCTTTAGAAGGAAATAAAAAGAAAAAAACAAGGGAAATGGAGCTTAAATTGAAGGAAAAAGTACAATATCCCAGTAAGTATTTCTGATTTAATTTTTTAATACATTTTGCTTTCGTCATAAGTCTGATATTGGCCACTGTCTGTGAGTTCAAGGCTTCAGAAGAACGAAATGATTCTTTTGCTGAGCTTTGTGATGTAGGATTGCATGCTACAAACAAGTGATCCACACTTAAAAGGGAAGTTACCAACTCACATCTGTGTGCTACAGAGCTCCATGTAACTAATGGCCGTTGTAAGAGAGTTTATGCATTTAACCAAAATACTGTCTTTTTATAAGCTTCAGTAAGAAAATTGAGTGACTTATTATATTGCTACTCAGTACCTAAAATCACTGAAAAATATCAATTTATAAGGCTACCTGAAGTAAAGTATTGTTAAAACTGCTGCCTGGGGGTAACTTTATCTGAGCTGTAAGGTTTTTTGCTTTGATTCTACCTATAGGCTTACGAGTGATGATATTAGCAGCTGTAAAGGAAATGAATGTGAAGAAAGGAGCATCCATTATTGCAATATTTAAGTACATCAGTGCTATATATAGGTATGACATACAGAGAAATAGACGACTTCTCAAAAGAACTCTAGAAAAATTAATTGCAGAAAAAGTAGTAGAGCGGGTCAAAGGACATGGACTGGCTGGGTCTTTCAAACTCGGAAAGAATTACAAGGAACAGAAGAAGCGAGAAAGAACCAAAGAGCAGGTAAAACATGCTGCTGTATTTACTTCAAGGAATGTTGCAAAGACATCTTATTTCTACCAATTGCATGCTACTTTCAGCTGTGCTGTCAGTGTGCATTAGTTTAGTGACACTGGCTTATTGATAAAAATGAAGAAGACTGCAGCATTTGCTTTGACATTCACGATCAAAGAAGCTGAAATCATAAGTAGATCTAATTTGGAGCTAAAATACTAACTACATCTGTCATAAACCTTTTAAAATAGTACTGCGGAGGCTGGCAGATATATTGTTCTTACTGTGAAGTTGTCTTTTAAACACTGGTAAACATTAACCAAATCCTCAAACTGGAACTTGATATAAAATCTTAATATCTCTGTCCCGATGTGTTTATACGTTCAAAAAAAAAAAAAAAGTGAGGAATAAGTCTAACATTGTTGGTTAATTTTACTTTGTAGATAGCAAGGACTTCAGAAAGCATTCAAAAGAAGCAGTTGATTGACGATAAAACTCAAACCAAAGAATCAAGAAATAGTGATGTCACTTCTGAAAATGTCCTTAAAACCCCTTTACGGGTTGATATTGCCATGGAAGAACATGATTATTGTACAACTAGCAAAAATTACAGAAAATCTGAAGCAGACCATGAGAACTCTGTAAAAGAGAATAATGTTCAGCAGGAAGCTGTGGTCCCAAAGTCTTCTGATTTGCCTGGCAGCCTCCTTGTCTCCACTGACGTGAGCAGTCATCCTAACTTTGATGTTTCTACAACTACAGCTGATGTCCAGCAGGAAGTCCCAAAGGACCAGTCCTCACATTCCCAAGAACATGCCAGTAGTAGCATACAACATACCAGTTCTGTATTTCCATTTAATACCTCTGAATATCGTTTTGAATGCATCTGTGGTGAGCTTGGATTAGCTGACTATAAAGCTCGTGTGCAGTGTCTGAAATGTTATTTATGGCAGCATGCAGAATGTGTAAACTACAAAGAGGAAAACCTGAAGATCAAGCCCTTCTACTGTCCCCATTGCCTTGTGGCAATGAAACCAGTTTCCACAGGAGCTACACTGATAATTTCTCCGAGTTCTATTTGTCATCAGTGGGTAGATGAGATCAACAGGCATGTAAGATCATCTTCTCTTCGAGTTCTGGTAAGATTCTTCATATTCTGGAGAGTTATTTTGTTAAGGCTCAGGGCTTCCTGTCTGACGCTATATCACGTACAGATCAGAGTTTTTTTTTGTCCTCTGTATCGTAATTCTACTTTTCTCACTACTAGACCTATGTTTTGCCACCACACAATGTATTTGTGTCCTAGAAAGACTGTCTGCATTCAGTTCTTCATTTTTTCCTTATAAGTTGGTCACTGGGAGATGATATAGTGGACTAGATACCTGTATCAAATGGCAGGAAATTTTGAGCAGTTGCAACAACGGGTGATTTCTGAGAGGGAAGACTGTCCATGTTTTTTTTTTTTTTCTAAAAGATTACCAGGGACCTTAGAAAGGCCTAACTGCAGGTGTTCTGCAGTGTGAAGTCTCACTGTACATTTTGCACCCAAGCAGCTCTGACAGTTGCTTTTCATTTGGTTCTAGATAAAAACAAATGTTTCAGTAGGTGAAGAGTGTACTTTTGAATTTCTGGTTTGCAGGCTTTACAAAAGAAGTCTTGGGCCTTGGTGTTTCCTGAGAATAATACCACTACCACTTGGACATTTTCTCTGTAACATCTGCCATATTTATTTGAATGTTGCTTATCTGGAGACCTCATATTGTCCTTTTACTTGATTTTTAATAGCTCTATCACTAAAATATAATTATACATATACTAACTAGGGCTCTACAAGATTTTTTAAAATATAGTTACAACAGTATTCGAGGGTAGCCACTGTAATGATAGAGTCAAGTTTTGTCTTTCATACTTTTAGTAGGCAAGAACCTCCGTAAAGATAAAGTGCTTTGAGAACCCTTATATTTAAAAAAAAACAATAGTAGTAGTAGATTGATAGAGAGGAAGGTTCTGTATTCAGAGATATATCTGATACCTTCAGCTATCCTGCATAGATGCCCAAAGTATAAATGAATTCTAGGCCTCCAGTAAGACATTTGTGTGAGCAGTCTAATTAGCTTTAGTGCAGCAACTAACAAATGTGTAAAACTTGCACAGTTTTCGTAGGACCCAGTCCAAGTTTTATACCAGCTTTGATGAAAACTGTCAGAAATAGATTTACATGGTAACAGAAAAATAGCTTAAATACTGAATGTTAGTACTTTAAGCTGTGACACCTTCCATTCTAAGACACTGTTTTCATTTCATTTTCTTTTAACTGCCAACTGTAAGTCATCCAGACTTGCTTTCAGTGTTGCTTCAAAATGAAAATTTGTTGTGTTCTTTTTTCTGTAAAGTCAAAATGAAAATAGTGCAGATGTTTCAAAGAACAGTTTTCCCATGTTAACCAGTTTTGCATTGCATGTGAAGGGTGTTTTTTTTATTCTTCCAACTGCTTACAACTCATGGGAAATTCTTAATGGTTTTATGTAATAGAGCAAGAAATTAAAACTTATCAGTAGGTCTTGCTTTATGGCAGGTTGTCTTTTCCTGCTGCTGTGAAAACAACCAAGACTTGGCCAAGTTATAAACCTCCGTAAAATCTGTTCATGAACACTTGGAAGAAATCATTAGACTTTGACAGCTATCTTTTAATTCTTAACAGTTGCTTCAGTGAGCATGCTCCTTTCTTTATTTTTGCCCCTACCTGTTCTCCTTTAGTTCATGTGCATTGACCTGGTTGTGCATGCTCCATGGTATGTTTCTGATAGGATTATGCTTAAAATAATGAGGGAGATAAGAAAAACACTTCTGGTATTTGAGCAAGCGTCAATATGAAAGGTTTCTAATAATATTCTATTGGTGCACAGGGACTGTTTCATAGTAGGATATTCTTTTTATTTATAAGTCTCTGTAGAAATAATTTTTGTAGATAAAACTTTAGCCAGAGTATAATTTCTGTTTTTTAAATATTTCATGGTATACTTCTCCCTTGGCCTAATAATCCACAAAATTCTTGGGGTGATGGGGAGAAAGGTAGTACATCTACCATAAAGGAAAGGAGAGGACAGGACATGTAACACTGATTTATATAATGTTGCTATGTACAGTATTGCAGAATACTTAATCTTGCATACAAGTGTTGCCAAAAATCATTTTTTTTAGCAAAAACTGAAGTCCCCTTTTCTTCAAAGTAGAAAAAAATTAATGTTTTGCAAAGATGCAAATACTTATGTATAAGAATTTGCATAAGTGTCTGTATTGCATCTATTACCTGTTACTTGTATGGATTTCTCATGCTGCTACGTTAATACAGGATTTATGAATGATTTCATATTAAATGAGGAACACTTATAAAAGTATGCATGTATTAAGCTGTATCGGTATTTTTGCATTTTTATTAAAGTGTCTCTTACCTTCATTCCTTGCTGTTGTGCTACTGAATATGAAACTATGTAGGTGTACCAAGGTGTGAAGAAGCATGGCTTTTTGCAGCCACACATGTTGGCAGAGCAGGAAGTGGTTATCACCACCTATGATGTCCTTCGCACCGAACTGAACTACGTAGATATACCCCACAGTAACAGTGAAGATGGGCGCCGTTTCAGGAACCAGAAGAGGTACATGGCCATCCCAAGCCCCTTAGTAGCAGTGGAGTGGTGGAGGATCTGCCTTGATGAAGCACAAATGGTTGAATGCACTACGGCAAAGGTATGGCAGTCCTGGTCACGTGTTTATTTAACTTGAAAAGGTTTGGATGAGCTCATTGTAAATAATACAATAGACTTCCCTTTCCCCTTCTTAACGCTCAGTGCACTTAGGTAATTTGTCCTTGTACCTTCTTCTTTAGAAGTGAATCTTCTGTTTGAGATATTGACTATTAAATGGTTCTCTTGTTGGAATTTTGGCAGACTGTGAAATATATCCTGCTCAAAAAATACTTAACATAATCTATACTGACAGTTTGAAGAACTAGGTCATCATGTTGTATATGGTGTTTGATAGTTTCAAACAAAACACTAGCCTGCTCAGTGACATGGTTCAAAGGCATAGATATGTCCTTTGGGTCCAGAAGCTAAAATAGTTAGCAGTGTGTCTGTAGACTCTAGGGCTGCAGTCTGCAGAGGGAGATTATTTTAATTAGTATTTGTCCAGTCTTTTTGCCCAAGACAGGAAGACAAAAATGCTGCTTACAGGCTTTAATTATTTTTATTTTTTTTTATGTACAGTTTCTTTTTGCTCTTTGCCTTTTGTGGACCCTTAATTGCACTTAATTCTTTGGAAGTGGATATGGCTTTTATCAGGTTTCAGTTACCTTCAAAAAAGCTCAATAACTTTATACACATTTTTATAATGTATTGGACCAATGCTGCTTATAGATCTGCTAATCTTACATGCTGAAAAGATGTTCAGACTTCTTAAAAATAAGGTCTACGTGTTTTCAGACTGTGTTTCACACTGTATTTGTTTTTTCCTTTCCTATCATTAGTTCTATCTTCTTTTGCTAGGCTGCTGAAATGGCACTCCGTTTGAGTGGAGTCAATCGCTGGTGTGTCAGTGGCACTCCTGTGCAGCGAGGACTGGAGGGTGAGATTTCATGTAGCAGTGTCATCTGTTGGTTTTCCTTGTTCTGGTAACTGGGTAGTGATATGAAGCAGTTAAAATATCTGCTAGTTTTGCTCTGAATTCATTAGGTACTCTGACTTGGTAAGCCATAAGCTTTAAACGTAATAAAGCCATCAATAAATGTATCAATATAAAAATTGCAGAGCTGAGATCTTTTTATGTCCCTGAGTTAGACAAATACTTTGGGGAGTAGAGAAGCTGCATGTCAAACAGCTGACTCAAGTCTGTTCTTCAGTTTTCACTTAGCAGAGTGGGTAAATATTAACCCCTCTCTGCTGCAGCTAAAGATAGTCTGCTCTGGTTACAGAATCCTCCTAACTGTCAAATAGAGCAAGCAAAGCTGTATTTGCTTTTGGCATAGCCCTGTATGAACTACTGTGGGCATCAACTGTCATGAGTATAAATTCTAAAAACCATACTAAAGCTTAATGAAACTGTATAAAGTCCTTACATAAGAACTGAATGAATTGACATGTGTGGATTAGGGAGCTGTATGATAGCAGGTGTCATTTATCTTGTTTTTTTGTGAGGTACTCTGTTTCTGTAGACAGGCTTCAGACAGATAGAACAAAAAGGGAACTGACAAACTTAATCTCTCTGCGTTCTTTGATTGATTTAGGAATATGTGCTACACATTGAGGCAATGAGTTTCAAAGTGGATGCATCAGTGTAAACATTTGTGTGCATTTGTGAACTATTCAGATACCAAACTATTATAAAAGTCAATACTGTAAATTAATTCATTATGGAATTGTGGATTAAATTTATAAATATACATAATAGTTGTGAGAATACTTAGTTAATAAAGCAAACACTATAGAAGGAAGGTATTGATTTGACTGTCATGATTAACTTGTTTAAGTCCCTATGTGTGATTAGTGTAGATTTAATATATATTTGAAATGTCATGTTGTCCATAATACGTTGGCCAGGCGCTCAGGCTACACTGAAGCATATTCCATCACACAGGGGACAAAAACTGCTGACTGTTTTGAATCTGTGCTGCTGAAATAAAGTGGGGTAGGACCTCTGGGTAATCAATTGCTTGCTGCATAGAAATGATTCCCAGGATTTTAGTTCCTCTGGTCTATGATATATTTGGTGAATGTCTTCTGGCTCTCAGCTGAATACCAAAATTATCATAAAGCTAACAATAAAGAATATAGCCACCAGATCTTTAAGAACTATCTGTAAGATACCATCATATATTTCTGTTTCTGCATTGTCCACATGCAGCATTTAAACACACGCTGCTGTATTTTTCCAATAGTATTTAGATACAAGCTTAAAGTCAATATGTCCTTAAATTTCATCCCCAAAAGTGATGGGTTACTGAATTGAGCAGTATTAGAAATCTGTATCCTCTCAATTAGTAAGAAAACACTAAAAGTGTGTTTTTGTTAATTTCTCGTGCCTTAGTAGAAAAGTGAAAGTCTTCTGAATTGCAGCCCCTTTTAGGATGGTGGGCAACAGACAGTTGGTGCACAGCAGGCTGTGAAGTAATGATGCGGAGCAATATTGTTTTAGAAAAACCTGGCAAACCCAGTTAACCATATGCAATCACGTAATTCCTGCCTCTCACCCCTGCTCTGAACAGGTTTAAATTAATCACTCTATTCTGGTGAACTTGAAATTAGGAAAGTATCTCACAAATAGGTGCATTCCAATAAGTTCTATGACAATCAACAGCTAGTTAAAGGAGACAGCCCCCACCCTCCCCAAACAGATCCCCTGTCTAAAATTAGCTGTTTTGGTGAGGGCATGACTGGAAAACAAGTGGAAAAGATAGTGGCCAAAATGTAGTTGCTTTATGCCTGGTAACCCTTCTGTGAAAGTTAATTTTTTATTTGGAGGCATATTGTGAAGTATTAAAACACAAACACTGTACTAAACCACTTTCTTTTCTTGACAGATCTGTATGGATTAGTCCTTTTTCTTGGAGTTGACCCTTACTGGGTCAAACATTGGTGGGACCAACTTTTATATCGACCTTACTGTAGGAAAAATCCCCGGCCTCTCTACAGTCTAATTGCCAAGATAATGTGGAGATCAGCAAAGAAGGATGTGATTGACCAAGTAAATAAGAGTTCTGGGTTTTAAAATTCCTGAACAACATTTATCAATAGATTTATTTGCAGATTACTTATTTTCTTTTTTAACTGCAGATTCAAATCCCTCCTCAGACAGAAAATGTACACTGGCTTCACTTTTCTCCCGTGGAGAGACACTTCTACCATCGCCAGCACGAGGTGTGCTGCCAGGATGCATTGGCAAAACTCAGGAAGATTTCAGACTGGACTCTTAAGCTTAGTAGCCTAGATAGAAGGACTGTGACTTCTATTCTATACCCTTTGCTGCGGCTGAGGCAGGCCTGCTGTCATCCACAAGCTGTTCGGGGAGAGTTCTTGCCATTACAGAAAAGGTGAATTTCTGTCACTTCTTAAATGGCTTGTCCTATTCAAAGCAAAACCTGATTGTCCCCGAAGGTGCAGGATCTTGCACAGTTCTTAAGCCTAATTTTGAGCTTCTTTAGTTAGATGTGCAACTATGGCACACCAAGCTGGCTGACCTCAGAAGTTGAATGCAGTAGGATAGCTGGTGCAATTCTTCTGTTAAAGAACATAGTACTGAGAGGCAGTTGTTTGTGCAGTAACGTTTTAATCTTACAATGCTGATGGATACTAGGGTGTTGCAGGGGACAGACTGTGTGTGAAACAAACCTGATTCTTCTTCAGTTTTAAATAAGCCCACTGATTTTCTTTTGTAACAAAAGTCACGTTCATAAGTGAGAACAATGAACAAAATGAATAAACAGAATGGAATAATTGTTTAAATCAAAGAAAATGTTGTTAATGTGAAGTTGCAGAATTTCTAAACATAGATCTAAAGCTGAAAGCTGTTCAAATGCTTTTTTTTTCATTTTTTTTTTGCATATTTTCAAGATCATCTTACAAGTGCCTTGCAAATACCAGTCTGGTGTCAGCCTTTGTTAGACAGGAAGCATGTTGATAGTGCTCTCTGAGACATGTATCTGCTTCTTTTTTGGTCAGTTAGAAGTGGGGTTGTGAAAGAACAGACTGTTTTCATTCCAGGCTCTTGGAGCACTATGTTGTTTCTCTTTTAAGCTACAGTTAGGGAATAACTTAAACTTTTAACGCTGTCAGTGTTATTTCTACTGTTTCCTGCATTGTTCATTCATTCTATTCAGCCTCTTTGTACCTTTTTATGAAGCTTTGTGTCCTTCTCCTTCCCCTTTCTCACAGAGGGAACCTAGAGTGCATGAGCAGCTGTAACTGAGTGGGCATCTACTTCAGTAGGGACTAATAGTAGGCACTGTGCTGTAGTACTTTATGTCTAATAGTCTGCTAGAGTGGAAGCAAGGACTCAAACATGGGCGAAATCAATATTCTCAGCAGCACTCAGTTGTTTCCTGGCTCTATTTACATATCTCTTTTTGTGAACCAAACTTGACTGCAGTAGTGGATGTACCCAGAACACAGAAGATTCAGCTCCTGGCTTTGGTTACATGTAGGAGAAAAATTAAGAAATTCAGTGCTAGGGACTTCAATGAGTAAGAGAAATTTACTGAAACAGGAAAGTTGATGCTGGAGCATACAGATAAGAGAAACTCGCCTGAAACAAGAAAGCTGAATTTGGAGTATATTCTATGATAGATGACTTTTTTTTCCACCTGTTTAGTAAAGGCAGTAAATGAGAACATCTACTCAGCAAAACTATAGCCCTCAAAAGGAAGTTTTCTAGGCTTCCCTACTTAGACAAAAAAGGGTGGGTTTTTTTACTCAGTTTTAATTGGTAGCCTCAGGCTGTGTATCAAATGGCATACTTTATATGTACATCCTTTGCTTTTATAATTTTTCTTGAAACTGTTGATGGTTTTGAAAATGAAAGGTAAGTAGTAACGGTAGAAGTACCAGAGTATGAGCAGCAGGTGCTATGTGTATTTGCCAATACCTCTGCAAACTTCATCTAATTATAAGTCGCGATTATTTTGTTTTAAATCCTGCTCTAGTGCAACAGTGTAGCATAAACTCAAGGAACAGTTTCTGCAGTTCGAACAGTGTTGCAAGGAGGGTAAAATAAAGGCCTAGTCAATACCTCAAGCCCAGGCTACCCAGGAATTGTCACCTCTTACTCTTTTCCACAGCACTAAATGCTAAACAGTAGATATTCCTGAAGGTGAATGAGGCTGAGGAGCAGAATTTTGGGGAGGGGTGTAGCATCTGGTCTCATAGGAGCAATTGGTCATAGAAGCAGCCTCAGCCCAGCTGTTATAGACTGTTGTTGCAGTTTACTCTGCTGTCTCTTTACATCAGTCTTCTGTTTGCCTGGATTCTTTGTCCCTTGGCCTTGCTCCAAGATATCGTTCATGTTTCTTTCTTTCTTCTTTCTCATCTGTATTCTTCCTTCTACCTCTTACCTCTCAGTTTCCTGTATTTTTATGTTAAGCTAATTCTCTTCTGACTAAATTCCTCTCGTGAATTACAAATACTACCAAAAAAAAAAATGTAAAAAGGAATTTTAAAACTGTGCTTACCATCTTCACTGTTCTTATTGCATGCATTTTTCTCTTTACGTTGACACCTTGTGTGTTTTGCATGTTTAGATTGGTAACAGGGGAGAAATGTAGTCTCTCACAGCTGTTTTCATCTGAACAACTTCTAGCAAAATAAGATCTATTTTTCCTTGTTTCCAGTTCACCACTGTAAGAGCAAAATATTTTGCCTTCTGAAGGATTATTTTACCTAGTTCTAATTTTCTTCTTGCTGCTTATTCCTTGCTATTTTTAGTTGTCAACCTCCTGACATACTCAAATTGGGGTAAAGCTCTAGGTGGAAGAAAAGCTGACAACTTGGGGTTCTTTAATAAGTACATTTTGTATAAACTTTTGCACAGCATGTTGGAGGCATGTAACAATCTCTCATCCTGCACAGCATGACAGTTTTACTTCTCTAGTATTGTGGTTTTGTTTCAAATTTGAGCCATTTGGACTCCATTTCAGCACCATGACCATGGAGGAACTGTTAACATCTCTGCAGAAGAAATGTCGAACAGAGTGTGAGGAAGCTCACCGGCAGTTGGTGTGTGCTCTTAATGGCTTAGCTGGTATTCATATCATTAAAGGTAAGACTGGATGGCTGTTGCATATTCTTTACTCCTTTTAGTGAGCTAATTATGGTTTAGATGACACCATGTAAAAACAGTGTCTTTTTTGAATTCATAGAAAAAGCCATGGTGAGATCTTGGGAAACTAGGAGGCTTGTAACAGTGTTTGTAACAAAAAATAACATTAATTCTAGATGAGAGAGAAAATAATAGGTGGTGTTTGGTGCATCTTTGAGATGTCTCAGAGTATTTCTGTTTTTTTTTTTTTTGGTTTATATTCTTTCTTGATTCTACTGTCTGTATATACTGGGAGGATAAAAGAAGTCATACTTGTGTAATTGTACTTAACCTGCTTTTGTTTTATCAGTACTGCTTTCTTGGCTTCTGTGCCCTCTGCCATGCGAACTGCTATGCTGACTGTGGAATCTCTTTGCTGCTACCTGCTATACAGCTCTGTCAGTGTAGGTTTTGTCTGAATTAGGAAAGTTTTGAATGGGAAACAAAAATAATTATATTAATCTTGAATGTTCTGCTAAACAAAATAATAAATTTAAATGTCTTAGTTATGAACGTGGTAAAAAAATGCCTTTTTGCCAAGTAATAAGTCTTTTAAAGCTGTCAAGCTGCTTGAATTTTTCAGACTCATGTTAAAGTCTTCATTCAGATGAGAAGCAGCAAATTGTCAGTTCTGTTACTTGTCTTACAGAAAGACTACATTCAGATTCTCTAGTCCGTAGTTAGTAGGTTTGAAATACTTTAAGGTTGCAGGATGGAGTTCAAGTTTTTCAGATAGAATTAAGTGCTTGAAAAGACTTCTGTACAGATTAAATATTTCTAAAATATTCTAGTAGCAAAAATTAAGTTTGGCATTTTTTGAAAAGCAGATTGTTGACAGTTGCATCTGGTGAGAAACAAAAGCAGGACTGAGGCGAAGTTCTGCTCTCTAACTTCCTCCTGTCCCAGCATTACTGTTGCACTCAGCCTTCTTTATCAGGAAGAAGAAAATGCAACTTATATGCAAGTAAAGGCATGAATGTATTGTTATTATAATTGAAATCTTATCGGTCTAATTGTTATTAGTCTAGATCTAATTGTTACAGGCAAAAAATAATAATAATCACATGTCCTTGTTTCTACTGCTGGTCCTGCTTTTATATAAGCTCACCTTTCTGGGTCCTGAGGTCAGTGGTTTCATACTGGTGGTGGCAGTGCTATGGCTAGTTCTGACCACCTGGAGTTCTTCGTCAGGAAGATGTTTGTGTTGATGGTTTCTCCTTTCTCACTCATGGATCCAATTAGGGTCTTTTTTATGTTTGCTAACACATCTTTACACCTTTCTCTTCATTGGTCTGCAGCTCCATGTTGACACCAAATTTAGTGTACGTGATGCCTTTTATGAATGTTACATGCTATTTCTTTGTTCTCTTTGTTGCCCCTAATGCCAGTTTTGTACAGCTCTAGGTCTGCATTTCTTTGACTGTGGGTGAGTTGTTTATAGCCATGGCTTCCTTATTCACTGCCAAGCCTGTGCACCATCTCTTAGCATCCCGTGGCTGTACTCTACACTGCATCCTATGTCTTTACTTTTCAAGGCCTCTGCTATTGTTACTAGGCCTGTATTTCTCTATACTACATTATTGTGTTAGTTGTAAATATCCCATTCTACATGGAATGACTGCTTGTAACTGCTATCTATATAAACCTGTGATTGTACCACACAAAGATAAAAAAAGTTTTTTAAAAAAATAATAAAAATTAGCCACAGGCACCTAGCAAATTAGAGAAATTGCTTTCACAGCTAAGCCAAGTAAAAGGTCCAGGCATGTAAAGAAAAATTAAGAGGAGGCCTATCAGAGCCTCCAACTTGAGGCCTTGCAAATTCAGCACATAGCTTTTGGCCTGTTACTAGAAATGGCAATTGTATATTGCAGGACTACTCCCCTACAACTGGCAACTATTTCAGTGTAAGAAGCAACAAATCTTCTTGGAATAGGGTTATTACACTTCCAGATATGTAAGAAGATGACTTATGTTTTACGCCGTTATCTGTCTTTATACATTTCATGTCCCTGTACTTCTCTGTGTTCTAAGAGTCTTAAAAGACTATTACTGGTTAAGTAAACTTCCATCAATTGAGAAAATAAAATAAAAATGGATTTTTTTTTTTTTGCTGCTTTTCCATATGCAATTTCAATTTTGTATTTCTTTTTAAATTTATACAATCTGTTTTCTGAGAAGTGATTGCAATGTTAGCAGCTTACATCAGTAGTTATGCTCCCTGCATGTATTTAATCATTTCTGCGTTTCTGAAGTACGACGCAACTTTCGTTGTTTTCACTGAATGTGAATAAGGTATTTGCAGTACAGATTTAGTAATGCACCACTGCAGTGAGCACTTCTTAGTGCAACATGTGAGATGTTTTGGACTTATGCAACTGTGAATACATATTTTAAGATCAAGAAGTCTAGAGATCTTGCAGTCGCAAAAGATACTTGATTTGGAAAGTGCTTTAGTCTTTGTAAAATGTAATACTCCGTCTTTTACTAGCTTTTGGGGGGCAGGGAGGAATGAATAGGGAAGATTTGCTTGAAGACAAGCAGATATTATACAGCCTCTCTGAAAGCATCCTAGTATGTTACAAGTGATGGCTAGTCATGGCAGCTTGTATATTTAAAAATCAACATAATACGTATATGTTTTTGTTCTTTTTTAATTCAGGAGAATATACATTGGCTGCAGAGCTGTACAGAGAAGTGTTACGATCATCTGAAGAGCACAAAGAAAAGCTCAAAACAGATTCTTTGCAAGTGAGTGAACATTCAAATGTAAAGAGACGTAGTTAAGAACTGGAATACATTAGATTTAATTTAACAGGTCAGTCTTCTCTTCCTTTCAGTGGTGTGCTGAATGACTCTTTCAGCCTGCTGTCATTATCACAATATTTAGATAGGAATCTGCCCAGTGATCTTCATGTTTGTTTTTGTTTTTATAAATACAATAGCTGTTAAAAAAATAAAAAACACTTTTGCTTGTGATTCTTCATGTTATCACAGAAATAGTGTATGATCTCCACCTGCTGTTCTGCAATAAACTTAACAAGCTGAATCCATAGACTTGTGCGTGTGACTGTGACTGCTCACACTAAAGTTACTGTATGTAAACACAGGATTCTGGGTTTGCATTGAGGAAGATATTAATGTGAAAAATGATATAGAATAATAAAATTATTGCACTGCAGAAGATGTTCTCTGACGGGACATCAAATCAAAGTAAATTTTCTCTTCAGGCAATATTTTAATACATTTTGAATACTATATTAAAAATATAAATATATCATATTCATATAATATATAAAATATAAGTATATTTTTCTGGTAAAAAAGCAATGGTTCTCAAAGTAACATCTTTATATTTCTTCAAGAAATACCACCTCTAAATTGACCAAAATTCTCTTAAGCATAACAAGATACTTAAAATGTTAATGACAGATAAATAAGAATGAGTTGTCTATTGCTTTAATTTGCTTGTTTCACTAAGTTATTGTTTGATTATCTTGCATGTGGTCATCTAGCTCCCTTGTGCTTCTTTGATCCTTCCTTCTCCTTTGACTTCCCAGAGGCATTTTTCACTTAGCATAGCCATATCAGCATAAACTTATTAAGCTACTCATAATGAGTTTAAGTAAGTTGTTTTACTGGATTATGCAATCCAATAAAGTTTTTTTGTTTCCATAAAATGTACAGTACCTAATACTGCATTTGTGTAATAAACCCGAACATTTGTACAGTTGAGTACTTCCCAGTTGCATAGGCTTAGCTCTTTAAGATAATGGCAAACCAATGCTGACCAGTGATCTTCAGTGACTGAGACAGTAATAGGGCAAAGGTGAAGTGAATTCCAGGAGGTGGGAAGGGCACAAGTTCATTATAGTGGAGTTTATTAGTATGAGTTTGTGGGAGATGTGCAGGCAGCACAATATTAGGAGTCTGGTTTGGGAAACGTAGGGTGAACCTAGGGAAGAGGAATAGAGTTGCCCTGTATTAACAACCAAGTTTATATTCCCTAAAAATAAATAAAAAGGTCATGGTTTTATTCAGTCCTCTTCTATTTCAGAAAAGTGAAAAATATGAAAAATGACTGGAGCTCTTGGGAGCTGTTTTTTTTTTCTTATACTTTATTTTACTTTAGGATAAGTGAATTGTCTCATTACAGTATTCTGAAAGATATTTACAAAAGAATGTGCTCTGAGATAAATTGTTTTCCATAGTAGTCAAGGGCTGTTTTAATTAGGAAGAGGGTGAGAATCTGATGACTTGGTATCAAATGTACCTGCTAATTTGCTTTTGAGGTGTTGAAGAAGGTCTTGTTACTGTTTCACTTACTACCTCAGTAAAATGAGGAAAAGAATGTTTATTTTCTTTATAAGATGCTTCCATATAATAGAGGAAAAAAATGAAACTAATTTTAAATGAATACTAATTTCATGCTGTAAGCTTTCATTGCTGTTTAAGCATTTCCTGTCACAGATATTTCAATGTATTTTTTCGTAATTGCGGTTGACTTTGTGTATATTTAGAGACTACATTCAACACATAATTTGATGGAATTGTTGGCAAAGCACCCAGGAATTCCCCCAACTTTGCGTGATAGCCAACTTGCAGAAGAGGTAAATGTTCGTTTTTGTACAAATACATTTTGAAGAGCACCTTTTTATTTTTTATCCTTTGATATTTTCTCTAAAGAAGTAACATTAATAGCTTTCAAGTTAACTGTGTACATTTCCTTTCAGGCTAGTAAAATCAAGAGCTGTTTAGTGTGTGAGATGAGAGCAGAAATATCCAGTAAAATGCTGCTGTTCTGAATGCTTGGTGAGCTCTGTGAGTGTGTTTTATGGAAGCTTTAATAATGTTTATCTCTAAAATGTGATTTTTCCGCACCCCCACAATGTTCCTGAGGAAATAACGTACAAAGATTCTACTGATAAAAATGCATCATCCAGAATTCTTCTGAGTCCCTTACTTCCTTACGCTTTCTTTAGCTTTTCTCATTTTAACTGCAGATAGTGAGAGTCTTCTCTAGGTGAAGTTTATTTTTCTTGCATAGATGCCGTGTACTCCAAAACTCTTCCCCATCCCCTAGTAAATATAGCTACTACTGTCTAGTGCATTTTCTCATGCCTTGAAGCTATTTTTTTACCTCTCTTTTTAGTCCTATGTGTGGAGCTGATATCTTCTTTGAAACCTTCTTGAGAAGGTCCTGATTTGCAGTGTTCTTCATTGCCTGAAGTTTGCCAGTGGCATCTGTCCAGGCTCTCTGTGTATTACTTATATTGTACTCACATGCCCTACAGTAACTGGTTCACCCCTGTCACTCTTGTACTGCCTAAACATCTAGAAAGGTTGACCATCTTTGGCTGGATGAGCAAGTCACTGGGTGTTACTTACTGTGTGCATAAACCTGTTTAACTATACCCTTAATCTTAACTGGGGAATATCTGATAAGGTAGCTGGGATCAATGTTCCCCGCTGGTCACTTGTAGTGGACACATGGGCCATATTTGCAAAAGAAGGTAGTTATTGTGGCATCATCTGGATTGGAAAGAATCTTGGGAGCTCTCCAGCTGAATCTCACCCTCAGAGCAGGGTCAGAATTAATTTCTGACCATGTAGCTCAGGGCTTTATCCAATTGGGCTGTTGAAACCTCCAAGGAAAGAGATTTCACAATTTATCTGAGCAACCTGTTCCAATACTTTATAATCCTCATAGTGGAAAAAAAGAAATTCACATAGAACCTCCCATTCCAATTTATAGTCCTTTGTTCACTTGCTACATACTTCAGTAAAGTGTCTGGGTCCCAGTGCTTGGTGATTTCCTTCTATATCATCTGGAAAGCTGCGATTTTGTATCCTCGAAGCTTCTCTTCTCCAAGTTGGACAAGCCCAGTTGTTTCAGCCTCTCCAGTTATGTGGTGATCATTATCTGTCTTGTTATGTGGATATCTTGTGATATTTCATCATTTTTATGCAAATTCTATGCACAAGTAGCATTTTTTTCTTTTAATAAGATTTGTTCTCCCTAAATATTTAAAGAAGTTTCTACCCGACTTTATAGAAATACTGCTCATTTTTTTTATTGACCTGTAGCTAGCAATTTTTTTTTTATGTCACCTTCTCCTGACATTATTGTAAGGAGGAAGATCAGAAAATCTGTATTTGGTTTATAAACATGAAGCAGGGATTGTTTTTCATAGCTGTCTTTCGCCAGTAGCTCATCCAAATATGAGTCCTGTGTACTCTTGGTAAACTGAGCTCCATCTGTAACAATAATATAATTATCTTGATAGTAGGAAAAAGAAGAAAGACTTAAACACACCCTAAACTGCACAAAATAAAGATATCTAGTGAAATCAGAATGTAATGGTAAGAGATACATACGTATGTACATGTTACTTGTAAGAAATGTAAGTTATTTGTCCATTAGTTTTAAAAATATCAGATAAACTGGTACTGATTATACTGCGGAGACACCTGCATACCAGGAGGGGTTTTCACTGTCAAAAGTAATTTTTATGAAGAAATTGTATCTGATGCACTTAAAAATAATGAAATTTAAACTCTACTTGTTAATATAGGTATAAGTTTTATATGTAGGTAAGTTGAATTGTCCTGTTCTCACATTGTTCTAGGATCTTTTTATTGTTCGCTCATTTAACACAATATATTTTAATGTACAGAGAAGTAAGAATAATGAGCCAAATTCCAGTTCCTTTTGGTAATGTAATTGATTCCTGTGGTGTTGTTTAGACTTGCCCAAAAGCAAAATTGCATAATTAGTGTCTCTTTAGTCATTTGTCTTATCACATTTTTTTGGACTTACTAATAAATGCTCTATTCTAGAGGAAAAAAAAAATGGTAAATTTTGCTTGCAAATGCAAGTGGGTAGCATGTAGGTGGCTAACCATTTTAAAATATTAAGGTAGCTGGGGAGCTTTTACATTTTCAATTATTCCTCATAAATATGATTTGTGCATACTTTAAACTCTTATTTCCATACAGGCAGAACAACTTCGACAGCATTATATGAGTAAATCCAATGCAGAAGTTGCAGAAGCCCATCAGGCCTTACAGCCAGTTCTTCAGACCATTCGGGAGCTTCAGAGAAAGGCAAGTACCTCTGACATATTTAGTCTCTGCAGTTTGAGATTTTTTTTTAAATATTATTTTCATCTGTTTATCCAGAACTCAAGCTGCTTATTATCTCTAACAGTTCTTTGAAGGCCTATTTGGAATGGGACTTTGTCAGTGTGTGCACACACACACAGAGCCCCGAAACATATTCTGTGTTTCCCACATAGAGGTATACAGTGCTTGACAAAGAGATGACTAAAAACAGAAGTACATCGTGGGATGATTGTAGTAAATATTAAAACCATGATTGATTTTTATATTAACCGTGCTTCACTTGTAATTTAGGTAAATAAGTTATACGTTTTGACCTTGAAACATTTCTGTCGTGTATCAGATGGTATTCAGTTATTTTCAAAGGAACTGTTCTTTGACATGAATTTGGTCATTGTGCTTAAGGCTTAATTGTGTTTAGTCAATATGACAATTCAGGTTTCATGGAAATGTTCAAGCCCTTGTTGTGGTTTGAGCTCAAAGAGCAACTGATCACCACACAGCTGCTCACTTCTTCCTTCCCTCCCAGTGATGAGAAGGGAAAAAAATAAGCAAGGCTTGGGATGGACGCTAGGACAGTGATGGGCAAGTCACCCATTATGGTCATGGGCAAAAGACAGACTCATTGGGGTAAGGAAAAAAAAAAGAACATAAATTGAATATAGACACTAACAACAACCCTTAACAGAGTAGGACAGTGAAAAGAATTGCCACATCTTGCTAACACCTTCCTCCCATCCCTCCCTTCTTCCTGGGCTCAGCTCTGCTCCCGATATCTCTACCTCCTCCTTCCAGCAGAGCATGGGGCAGGGAATGGGGGGTGCAGTCAGTGCTGCCACTTCTTCCGTCTTCAGTGGGGGGAGCTTCAGGAACTTCTTCCCCCTCCTCCATCATGGTCCCCCTCTCACAGGAGACAGTCCTCCACAAACTTTCTTCAATGTGAGTCTCTCCCACGGGCTGCAGCGTTCCCCACACTGCTCCAGCGTGGGTCACCAACTTTCTCCAACTGGAGTCCCTCCCACAGCCTGCAGCCCTTCCCGAGCTGCTCCCGTGTGGGACACCCCCGCATGCTGCAATCTTCCCAGCACTGAATTACAACAGTGGGGGCTACCTTTTCCCACAAGATCCCGGCCTTCTTTGGGCACAGCACCTTGATCATCCAAGCAAAGCCCCTCACAAGCCATAAATCAATGTCTGCTCCACTGCAGATCTTCATGGGTGACGGGGGGGCGGGCTGCCCTGCCATCTCACCACGGGATACAGGGGGGTCTCTGCTCTGGCACACCTCCCCCCTCCTTTCTTCCTCTGTTCCTCCACTGACCTTGGTGTTCATGCAGCTGCTGCAGCTCCTCCTCACAAGTCTGACTGCTCCTCACTGTGTCCCTTCTTAAATATGTTATCCCAGAGGCGCAGCTGATTGGCTCAGCCTTGATGCAGAGGTGAGGCCGACTTGGAGCTGGGGAACTTCGTGAAGCTTCTCACAGGGGAACACCACTGTAGCCCACTCCCCTGCTACCAAAATAAAACTCCACCACTCACTCAAACCCAGGACAACCCTTAATGAATTGGTGAACACAAGTTGAAATGCTGCTTGTCACTTGCATAATAGTAAAGTAATAATGAAGAAATGTGGGGGAACATGAGGAAGTAAACTTCTATGTATTTTTCACCTTTTAAAATTATAAGATCACTTCAGTGTTGCTCTGTTAATTTCACAGAGAGCTTGCTTTCTCTCATGAAACGATTCTTTTACCTCTTTGAGAGGAAGAAAGAGGAAACTGAGATTACAGTGTCTCTGTGTGACTAATCTGTGTAGATGGCCTTGGTGAATTTAACTCTACTGAAGCAATCTGAAGATGTGGAAGTAGATGGGAATGTAGAATATTTCTTAATCATGTATTTACTTAAAAGAGAAAGGGGATATTTTTAAAGCATATTCTTATCATCTACTTTCCATGGAATTTACCAGTTTGTGTTTGAGTGTGGCCTGAAGAGCAGCATAAGCCTCTGCTGCTGTGAGTGAATTGGTTGTTTACTGAATGCTTGTGGATAAATCTGTTCTTTTGCATACAGATACATTCAGGTTCTCCTTGGTGGTTGGATGTCATCCAGACAGCAATACAGTATGCCATCGATGAGGAGCTTGTTCAACGTGTGCAAAATGAAATAGCCAGCAACTACAAACAGCAGATTAATAAACTCTCCATGGCAGAGAAGTAAGAGAATAGCTAAAATAGGCTAATGCTTATAGTTAAGTCTGCTCAAGTCCTCTTACCAGTTTGTGCTAACACTTGCAATTAAATAGCAGGCATTTTTGTTTCAGAGCATCTGGGTTGCAATTAAGTTTCAAAAACAGTCCGCCAGAAAGTGTAACTAGATAGAAGACTTGGGAATAAAAGCAGGAGGATTAATTTTCTCTTAGAGAAGGATTCTTCTAAATGTTCCTTTGTATTATCTACTGTGGTTTTACAGTCTTCTGTACTTGTACAACTGCTGAGCAAGAAAGATTCAAAGTTTATTGCATTAAAATTGAGTAAACTAAAAGAAACTGACTTGCTTAAATAAAAAAGTAGACACAATCCCAGAAAATCATTGTGTAACAGCATAAAACAGCATCACTAATTTTCTGAGCAAAGAATTTTATTTTGGTTTCATGTTAGGGACAACAGTACCACAGTTGTGTGCAATTCCAGAGTAATGGATTGAAAGGGATATCTGGAGGTCACCTAGACCAAACCCCAGCTTTTATGTACCCAAGCCCATGCTCAAAGATTCAACATGATCAAGTTGCACAGGGATTTGGCCTGTTAAGTTTAGGGTATCTCCAAGGAGGGAGATTTCATAGCCTCTATCTGAAGCCTATACCAGTATTTGACCCACTTGTTGGGAAAAAAAAAAATTAACTTTACAAAAAGATTATTTTTGTGTTGCCTGTGTTGCATTTTGTGTCTGTTATTTCTTGTCCTTTCACCATGTGCCTTTGAGAAAGCTGCTTGCTCACTCCTTCCCCCTCAGGGATGGGGAAGATAAAATAAAAGGCTTAGAAATCAAGATGAGGAGAAGGAGGGATGACATGCCCATTATGCTCACAAGCAAAAGACAGACTTGTTAGGGCAAGAAAAAGAACATCAATTTCATTTGACCACCACCACCACTTTTCCAATCAGAGTGTGAGAGTGAGAAATATGACATCTTAAAGCTACCTTCCTCTGTACCTCTCCCTTCTTTCTGGGCTCAGCTTTGGTCCAAATTTTTGTCCCTCCTCTCCCGCAGCAGCATAGGGGCATGGGGATTGTGGTCAGTTTGTCATCCATTGTTTCTACTGCTCCTTCCTCCTCAGGGGAAGGATTCCTCACACTCTTCCCCTCTTTCAGCATGGGTTCCCTCTCATGGAGACAGTCCTCCATGAACTTTCTCTGCCATGAGTCCTTCCCATGGGGTTCAGCACTTCACGAACTGCTCCAGCATGGGTCTCTGCTATGGAGTGCAGTCTTCCTAGGGACAGAGTGCTCCAGCGTGGGCTTCCCTCAGAGTCCTGGCCTTCTTCAGGCACACCCACCTGCTCCATCATGGGCTCCTCCACAGGCTGCAGGTGGGCATCTGCTCCACTAGTGACCTCCATGTGTTTCAGGGGGACAGCCTGCCTTCTCACCATGGGCTCTGCAAGGGAGACTCTGCTCCAGTGCACCTCTCCCAACTCCTCTTCCTTTATTCCACTGACCTTGGTGTTTGCAGAGGTGTCTCCCTCACAACTCTTCCTCCTCTGAAGTTCTCCTTAAATACATTATCACAGAGGTGCAGTCACTGTTGCTGATTGTCTCTGCCTTGGTGCAGAGGTGGGTCTGACTTGGAACCAGGGGAACTTTGAGAAGCTCCTCACAGTGGCCATCACTGTAGCTCCCTCCCCTGCTACCAAAACCCCACCACACACATAAACCTAACACAGATACTCCAAAGCTGTCTGGGCATGGTCCTGGGTGGGCAGCCACCTCGAGGTGACCCTGCTTGAGCAGAGGGGTTGGAGAAGACAACTTCCAGAGGCCCCTTCCAACCTCAACCAGTCTGTGAGTGGATATGAATGTTTCATGGTTAAATGTTATTTGAGAATGATAGTATCTCATTCTGATCAAAATAAATTTGAGAAATGGATTGTTTGTATGTTCATGCTGAGCACATATGTCTGTGCATCTATTTATATGCTTGCCCATGTCACACTGGAAAAAAATTGATTTTTTTTTTTTTCTCACTTGAAATTAACTATTTAGGAAGTGTCTTTTTAAATTGTTGCTGCTTACAGGTTGTATAACCTTGGAAAAGCAATGCAACTGTTTCTTTTATAAAATAGGGATAAAACTTATTTCCTTTTTATTTATTTTAGCATACGCAATAAGAACTTAAAAAACAATGTTTTATGAAGTATTACTGGTCAGTGGTGGAAGCAACAAGTACTAATCTCTAGTTGAGTACTAGACATGATTAATCCAGCATATAGTTTGGGAGATTTATAAAAAGTCTGGAATATTTGGCAACTGACAGTATTAACAACAGACTTGTGATTGACATTTGTATGTGTTTTCAGACTACTTGGTTAGGAAAACTTGTTTATTTTATTTTAAAATACATATTGCTCAAGTAGGTCATATTAAATGCCAAACTTTAGTAGTGTTGCTAAACCTGTGCTTTTCTCTCCACATTTTACTTGAAGGGATGTTTTGGATCAAACTTTCCACATGGGGTAGAACTACAATCTTGTAATACACTGTCTTGAATGTGAATGCCAGACCTTGTATGAATGGTACACTCAGCCAGCGACCTCTGCTCACAGGAAAAGCACAATATGGGAAGTGCTTAACTGGTGTTCATGTTGCCACTTCAATCAAGAAAGACAGGTTTTAGGAAGATAGTTCACTGTCATGTCCATTTAATAATTTTATCTTTGAAAGCTAACTAGCAAAATACAGTATATTTTTTTGTGATGGGTGCAGGTCTGCTGTGAATTGCACAGGTGCATTGAAAAGCAGTTTATTGGATGACATGCAAATAAGACTATAAGTAGGTGCAGGTGTTTACCTTTAGTAGATTTGTGTTGTGGACCATCGTGTTGCAGATCAGTGTTGACTAATACTCGGTTGCCTTTCTCAAGTCTTGGAAAGAGCCTGATGGAATGATTTCTAACATCATTGCATGTAATATTAATAAGCATTTGCTTATGAACTTCATATGTTGTCTTAGATTGCCATTTAGTTGTTTCTCTTCTACTTCAAAATACTAAATTAAGTTTGGTGACTCAGTGTGCAGTTAGTTCCCTTTTTCTTTAAATCAGATTCCGTGACTGCAGAGGCCTTCAATACCTGCTCACAACCCAGCTAGAGGAAGTGAAGAAATTCCAGAAGATTGTAAGAGAAGCAGTGAAAAACTTAGAAGGCCCTCCCTCTAAGCAGGTTATTGAGGCTGCCACTATCTGCCATTTGCGACCTGTTAGACTTCCACTTAACAAGTATGTCTTGAAAATAGAAAATATGCTTTAGAAGTGTATTATTAAATTTTCCTTCATTTGAAATAAGAAGAGATTAGCGTATTTATTCTGTACTCGGGGTTTGTATGCACACAGATATCAGAGATCCATTTGTTAGAATTATGACCTTACTTTGGTTTTATTGTTATAAAGTTTTTTCCTGACAGCTATTATATAGAGTATGCATAAGACTGTTAAATTGGGGGTTTTTAAGGACTTTGTGTGGTTTTATATGTTGGAATAGGGAATTACAGGAATTACTTTGGTTTCTGATGAAATTCTGAGTGCTTCTGTTTTCAATCTTCTGTACTGCAGCTGTGTCTTCTGTAAGGCTGATGAGTTGTTCACAGAATATGAGTCAAAGCTCTTTTCTCATACGTAAGTTTATAGCTTTATAAACTTTTCACTATTAAGAAAAATTTGAAAGTTTGATTGTTTTACATTTTCTGCTTTTAAGTTTTCTGAAATAACTTTATGAATGAATTACATCAACTTCTTGCTGGTGGCCTTGATAGCAATTTTATTAAGTTTAATTTTCTGTGTAAATTTAATTTGAAAAAATTGTGTACAAGGAACAAATACATGCTGCTTTTTCTCAAGCTGCTATAATATGACCATATATTTGAAATTAAGAGTTCAAGTGTTCAGAAAGTGTGTGTATAAATACAAGTATTCTAGTTAAACGCATATTCCTGTTTGTGCAATATTTATTTGCAGTCCAGTTGTGTTATAATACCATACTTGTTCATAGATTTATTTTTATTTCTGTATAATTTATAAAGTAACAAAAATTGACTAAAACTACAATGAGAGAGGAGATTTCAGGCATGAATGCAGCTGTGAGCTGAAAGAAGGGTTGTTGCACCAGCACATAGTGTGAGAGAAGAATGCATAGTGGACAGTGCTGAGAGGCATAGATTACAGCCCTCTGCATGCTTTCTCTTTGACTTTTATCTCTCATACGCCTCACAATGTCAAAATTGGATTCAAATATCTTGAGGTCACTGAGAAAACATTTTGGAAAGTCTTTACTAGTGGAATGTTGGAATCAGGAAATGTTAGCGTGTTTCTGATTTAGCATTATTTGTCAAGGAAGGAACTGGGAAGCTATAGTGTTCTTAAATAGTGCAGTACACAGTAACTTTTGTTTAACTGCAACTCTTGCTGATTTAAGAATTCAGAATTGCAAATCTCTTCAGTGAATGTGACATTAATCATTAATAACTACTGAAAGATAATTAAGATGTGTAAGCCTTTACAAAAGCTATTGATGATTCTGAAAATTACTTGTACAGTGATTTAATTGCTGGTAATGAGGTCACTGTGTTCAAAGCGAGCTTTGGGGATATCAAGTAATAAAACAGCTGTTTGTGTTTGGTTTGCTTTAACCTTTAATCAAATATTAGAAGGCTGAAATATATGGTTAATAAATAGAAATGGATGCAGAAGTAAAATATCAGTGATTAATATCATGTTTGGTTTGTTTTTAAGTGTTAAAGGCCAAATGGCAATATTTGAGGAGATGATAGAAGATGAAGAAGGGCTCGTTGATGACCGTTTGCCCACCACAAGTAGAGGACTGTGGGCAACCAGTGAAACTGAACGTGCCTTGAAAGCTGTTCTCTCCTTTGCCAAAGCTCACCGGATGGATGTTAAGCTAACTGAAGAAGGCAGCATATTTCTGGAACTCTTTGAAGCCTGGAAAAAGGAATATAAGGTACAGTAAATGAGATGGTGATGAAACAATTGTGTGGTCCATTTAATGTAATGAAAACAAATTTAAGATGAATATAAACAAATCTAATCTGTATTCATGAAATTAGGGTTTGGCTACACAAAGTTTTTTCACAGTGTTTATTACAGGATTTGATTTTAAATGGTTTGTATATGATTTAAGAGTTTCTAAAAGCTCAACTGGCTACTAAGCAAATTAGTAAGATATGCAATTGCATCTATTAAGACAGTATACAGATATAATTAAATGTGTTTGTCTGTTTAGTTAATTCAGAATGTAGAAAGACTCAGCAAATCAAAAGTTGGTCCGTTCTGTAATTCTTTTTGCCTTCAGTCTTGTGCTAGCTATACATGTCCTTTCACTATTGCTTTATTTCCTGGATCTTGTTTACTACACAGTGTAACCTGAAATAATTAGTGTCCTGTTGTTTGGATCAGAGGGAACTACAGGAATATAGTGAGGCTTTTGTTGCACATCCTTGTGTGTCTCTTTCCTTGCAGTGAATAGATACTAGTGATGAAGGGAGAACAGCTGTTGCACACAAGGTTCTCATCCTGTCTTAGAGCTTAGGTGTAATCAAAAGTGTTTTCTCTTGAGTGCTTCTCCTTATTTTTAATTAAGACAGACTTCAGCTTCAGTAGAACACACTTGGTACACTAATGCCAGGTATATTGACTCTTTTGTACACTTCTCTTTTTGAGGGTCTGCCATCAGAGGAAATTCCTGTTCCTTGAAGGATTTTTGCCACTGTGATCTTTATCCCAGGCCTTCTGTTTTATGATTCTAGGAAATTGTAACTTAACTTGCTTTTTCCTAGGAGGTTTTGAAAAAGCGTTTTTTCTTGTAGAAGTATGCTATCCAAGAATTCAAACATTTGTTATTAGCTTTACTTCGCAGAAGAAAAGATGCTCTAGAGAGTGATTTACTTTGTGTATCTTAAATTCATTAGATGGAATTCGGTCTGCCTTTGTTTTTCACCAAGCTTGGTTACTGATCACCTACTTTCCTCCAATTGGTAGTGCAATTTAGGAGTGAGACTTAATCTGTATCTGCCTTAAAAAATATTACTAGGTTACAGTGTAACACAGTGCAAAACACTTTTAAACAAAATGACATCTCAATCAGCATTTAGGTGTCTGGTAGTTAAAGGTCTTGAACACGCTAAGTCATGCTACAGTGTCAGGTCACTTGGTTATGGTACCAAAATGTTGGCTGGAGAATAATGACCATATCTGTTCTCGTGCTTCATTATTTTATGTCCTCAGCTTGTAGCAGTTCACTAAAGGAGGACATAAGCTAACTGGTTACAAAGTTATGTGTTGGGGATTTTCTGTTCCAAGAAGGGAACACAGTCTCCTCATGTCCTTTTACTTTAGGAAACAAAATGTGGGACTGATATGCCAATGAAAATGAGAATAGTGTCCTTCTTTATGATTCCATCTGTTGTGATATGGAAATACTGATTCAGTTGTCCATCCTACTCTAATCTACATTGAGCTACAGGAATAATACTCTGTAAAATAACCCTTAAATCTAAAACAAGCTGGTTTTTTGTTTTTTGTTTGTTCATTTGGGTTTTTTTGGGGGGGCGGGGGCTTAGTTTCTCCCTTATTTTAGTTTAGTTTCTTTAGTTTTGGGGGAGTAAGCACCTTTCAGCTTATTCTCTGTCCTTACCCTGTATGCCAGGGTTAATAAACAGTAATTTTATGTTTGTAATCTAGGCATAGCTCAGAACAAATGCTTCAGTAGTCTTTCTTGATCTAAACAAACAACCAGCACACCCCCCCAACAACTGAGTGTTTAGAAATACCTTTACAATTGAAAAATCAAAAATCAACAAATAGTAATTCCTGGTTTTGCAAAAGGTCTTAGAATTTCAGTAAGATCACTGAAGATTTTTTATAAATATGTAAATAGTGGAAAGTTTGGGAAGAAATATTTTACAAATATTATCAGTACTTTATTGTCAATTTAAATGTATAGTATACTTTTAGTTATACCCATTGCTATTGTAGAAAGCCAGAATTTACTTTTTCTTGGGAGAATTGAATCTGATGGTATCTCCACTTCGTGCTTGTCTGACTATTGAGACCACTCAATTCATTAACATTTCTTTAAAACATATTTCATTTTTAAGAATCAGTCTTAGTACTATAACAGCTAGTTGTTTAAAGTTTCTTAAGCATTTTTTCTTATTTTATTCAACATTTGCTTAGTCTTGCAAGGCATTTTGTTTCTCAACTTTTAGTTGCATTAGTTATTGTAATAGTTGTAGAAGTAATGAGAGGCATCTAGTTATTGTTGTTCATAATGAGGCTGGAAAAGAAAGTAGGCGAGATGATCTCTATACTATTTGTTTTCCTTTGTTATTTGTTGTTGTGGCTGAACTACTGTAAAGAATTATTATCTCTTACTCCAAAAATATTTTCACATTACATATACTGTATGGCAGAGTCATATAAAAGGAACTCAACTCAGTTCTGCTACTAATTTGTTTGGGCTTTTCTTGCAGTTACTTCATGAATATTGGATGGTACTTAGGGATCACGTGTCTGCTATTGATGAACTGGCAATGGCTACAGAACGGCTGAGAGTGCGTCATCCCGATGAGCCGAAACCAAATCCACCAGTTCTACACATCATAGAACCACATGAGGTAAAGTACTTGGCAGGAAAGAAATGTGTTTTTTTTCTGACAAACCTACCTCCTACAAAAACAAAATCTCTATTTAGATCGATGTAACAGGTCTATAATATGCCTCTGTTTCCATTTCAGAAAGCCTTGGTGGAGTAGAGTTCCTATCTATTTTTATATTCAGTGTATGGGTCTTTTTGAACTTATAACTCTTATTTTGATGTACTTTTTGACAGACTTCTGACTATGAGTGGCGTGTTTCCAAAAGACTGCTGTCCTTCCAGCAGCAGATGAATGGCTCTAGGACCTTTCTCTACAATTGCCCAGTTTTGCACGCTGGTGGAAAATTAAGTTGACCCATATTGCTACTTTCCAAAGGACCTAAAAACAGCAGTGAAAACCTAAAAGAAAAATCTTTTTTCAATATCTTGGAATTTCTGAGCCACCTCTGAGACACTTTCTGTTCATGACTATAGAGAGCATGCTGGGTTGATTTAACTTCTTAATTTTTTTTTTTTTTTTTTCACTAATAGAAATGTTTTCAATAGAAACATTTCGTACGTTTTTTCAGTGAGATTCAGTGTTAGATAGAAGTGCTTCTTTTCTTTATGTGGGGAAATAGATGCTTCATCTATGTACGAAAGCAATTTTTTAAATGGAGCGCTCCGCTTAACAAATGTTTAACAAACTCTAAGATTTATCTATGTGTTTGTAACCATAAAAGAAACACCCATTACTTTGGCTTTCATCATTGAGGTGCTTGCCTCTTCAGCAGTATTAATAACTACACCACTAACAACTGTAATTAATCTAAAAAGGAGTCAGCTTGAGGTTTCTGTCTTTGTATAGGTTAAATGAAAAGAGAAATCTTCTAAGAAGTATAAAGGAAGTAACTAATTGTTTTTTACACATTGTTTTTGGAATCAGCAGTTTAGGATCTATTTGGGTGTAAGCAGATAGATAATAAATTGACTGAAGTTTGAAAGAAACTTTTAAAATATTAAGTTATTTTACATTAGTTTTGTCTCTGGAAAGAATCAATAATGCAAATAAAACAATAAAGAGCAAGTTTTGATACCTCCTGGGTCTCAGCCTGTTCACAGTACTGTGTTCATAGTGGGTACAGGAAAGGAATAAAAATCAGTTTTGCTTGGGGAGAAGCACATCTTAAATTTTACAGCATGAGCTGTTCTTCTGTCTGTCCCCAGTAAATTATTCAGTTGAATTTTGCCAAAAAATGAATTTAATTCTTATTGTAAAATTTAACTATTTTTTTTCTTCTTTTAATATGTGTTTGATGCTGTTTCCATAGGTAGAGCAAAATCGAGTGAAACTTTTGAATGACAAGGCAGTTGCCAAATCACAGCTTCAAAAGAAATTAGGACAACTTCTGTATCTCACTAATCTGGAGAAAGTAAGGTTTATGGTTCCTTGGTCTCTACCAAAGTGATGTACTTTATTTACCTAGTGGAAGAAACCTACCTTTATTTTTTTTTTAAACTTAAATTTTAGAGAAAGTATATTTTATGTAAAGATTAATTACATGTTGAAATTCAGTGTGTTGTTCTTTGTGTTACTGTGTAGTCATAAAAGTTTTTTATTACATTATATATTTTGGCTATTTTCTTCATTACACAGTCATAAAACTATGCACTAGTTTTAAATGGTTAAAACTTATTAAAACTAACTTTGCCATGTGTAGTAGAAGCTCAGTAAAATTATATATCTCTCCACATACCCTTGCTTTTTACAAAGAGCTTAGCTTCTTAAACAGGACAAGCAGGTCCGTAGGTTAAACAAGTCTGAAAAAAACAGGCAAACCCCATGTATGTTATGTTATTTTAACCAGTGTTCAAGTAAGTACAATTACACTTAAGTAAGCGTAGTTAAGTATGATTAAGTATGTTTAAGTGATTATACAACAATGTGAAGCTGATAGAAAATATGAGGAGTTTCTTGTTTGAAACTTGTATTTTACCAGGATTTTTCAAAGCTGTGGTAGACACACAGATGTTACCTGAAGGACTGCAGTATGATCAGTGTTCCTTTTACTTATCATAAACTATGTATTTTTTTAACTTCTCGTGATATTTATTTATTAATGACATTTTTTAATTTGCTCGCACAGTTGTTTTTTTTTTTTTTTAAGGACTTCATTACTCACTTTTTCTATAAGTTTGTTTGAAATATAGAATAAATATTTATTTGTTGAAACATAAAGTTTATATTTTTTTTCCTACTTTATAGTCTCAGGATAAAACTACTGGAGGAGTTAACCCAGAACCATGTCCGATCTGTGCACGTCAACTGGGAAAACAGGTAAGATACTGAGTCCGCAGGTTTTGGTTTTAGAATGTCTTTAGCTAGATCTGAGTCAGCTGTGTGTCAAATTTTCAACATCTGATTTTAAATGAACATTGTATTGAAACAGGCTAAATAAGCCCTTGTTTGTAACGTACCAACCAGCCTGTCCCCTGAAGTAACATCTTGCTCAGATGTAAGCACCTCTGCTGCCTTTAGCTGTTGACATCAATGCTTAAGTGTTTTGACAAAAGTGTTCCAAAAATGTATGTTGCTGATTGTTTTATAACTATGAATTTTTTCTTTCATACTTTCGTCAGAAAAATTTCTTTGCCATTTATAAGCTGGTAGAATGAAGAAATAGATAAGCTTCTGTAGTATACCGTTGTATTTTACTGTAACTGTTCTTACTGATAGTATTTTTTTTCTTCTAGACTTTAAAGAAATGGATATTAGCTACTTAAACAATAGTAAAAAACAATAGAATAAAGACTAGCAATTTGGATTTTTTTCCCCGCCACTTACCTGCTGAACCACAGGAGTTGAAATTTAAGTGAGATTTAATCAAGACTAATCTATGTCATAAAGTACGAAGCCATAGTTTGTACTTTACTTACTATGCATTAGGTAAAAACATGAAAGGACTCCTGTATATCGAACTAAATTGGCTCCTTTTTAAGGGTAGCTGTTTTAAGGTGCTTTAGCTTCTGTTAGCTTTATAGACATGTGTAAGCATGAACTAGTGTCCTGCCATGTTTCCAAAATCCTCTCTGGGCTCCTCTTCCAAGGGTGATACAGGTTTTTACAGACAACAGTTGTTTGCCCTGTTAAATGCCAATATGCTTCACCTCTGAGCTGGAGGAGCTCACTGAAAGAAAAAATATTTTCGTTAGCTTTAGCCAAGACTGACACATTAGATGATAGTAGCCATCATGTTGTAAGGAACTTCTAAAATGCTTTGTATCCCGTTGCTGCATGATTGAAAGAACCTTACAAAGCCTAAAAGATCTTTTGCTTGATAATCAGTTATTTAGAAAACTCCCTCTGCTACTTGGACCTGTTGGGTTTTTTTTCCTCTTAGAATGTCCTATATAACAGACTAGTACAGAGTAAGGCACTATTTCTAGGTGCAAAAACACTGCTTTACAGATTACTTCTTTATTATGGAAGGTCACAGCTGACACATAGATGTTCTAGGCCTGCAAAGGAAGAACAGCTTCTGCAATGCAATCTTTTGTTTCTAATGCATTCTGTCGAGAAAAAAAAAAGCATCTCTGTTCATAATCTTCTTTCTTTTTAAATCCAAAGATGTTGTCTAGGATTTAACAATAGGTAAAAATTAGAGCACTTTCTTTAGAACTTTTTTTAATAAAGACTGATCTAGTATGAATGTATAGATAAAGACTTTTACAGAAGGCCAATACAAACATTTGTGCAATTTTTTAAAAAATGGTGTAAATACTTAATCTGTGCACTTGAACTATGTGTTAAGAATCATCATTTACAGAAATGAAAGACTGTAGTGTCTTTTTTCAAGTTTAAAACTGGGAAAATGCAAAAAATTAACAATAAATGCAGAGAACTTGCGTGGATCATGAATCTTTCTGTGCTGGAAGACTTTGGAATCCAGGCTTTTAGCAGCTGGAGTGCTAAAAATTCTTTAATTGTTATTTGATGAGTTTCATGAAAATACAGTAATCTTTCTATGAAAATGTAATTTATCATGTATTAGTACACTGGTTTTCTTTTTAATTGATCCAAAACTGATACTGTGATGTATTGTTTTCTTTTAATTCCCTGCATAGTGGGCAGTGCTGACGTGTGGACATTGTTTTTGTAATGAGTGTATAGCTATCATTATAGAACAGTACAGCGTTGGCACCCGTCGGAGCTCAATTAAGTGTGCCATTTGCAGGCAGACAACATCTCATAAAGAAATATCGTATGTCTTCACTGCAGAAACTGCAAATCAGGAGGATGATATTCCTGTAAAGGTACGTTATTTATGTGAACTTTGTGGCCTGAACTTTCAGCAGTGCGTATTTGTTGTGTTTTGTTTCATACTACATTTAGGCAGACAAATTTACCATATCGTTTTTATAAGTAGGCTCACTTTTTCTAATTTGTTTTGCTTATAACAGATACAGGGTTTTTTTCTTTCAAATTGGACGTGATGTATATAGGCCTTTCTTACAGTGTAATCAGTATGTTCACATCCTTCCCCAAGGAAGGACACATGTATTCCTGTCAAGTAAAAGGTTTTTTTTTGTTGTTGTTTTGTTTTGTTTTGTGGGCTTGTGTGTTTTTGTTTGTTTGTTTGTTTAGGATACCATTTTAACACCTGCTCTTTAAATGTGCTGGAGGAAAGGCCGTGTAGATGGATTACAAAATTACACATCTGTTAAAGTAAAGCTGTCTTGGGATGGGGGTGGGAAGGGACAGCTTTTACTGAGCTTTAGTTATGATTTTTTTTTTTTTTTTTATTTGACACTGGGTAGAAATAAAAGCTGTTTGTATGCAGGTTATTATCTGGGGGATTATTGTTGTGTTTCTGACTTTTTGTAGCTAAGGAGAGACAAGGGGTTTTGGAGGCATAGTTTTGCTATGCTTGCTTGAAATGGGTAGTTTGAGAAAGCTGCCTGTACTATAAGGCTGTTCAGATAATGTAAATATTTTAAATTGATAAGTCTTCATTGTTAGCCAGAGAACGTAAATCCTGATTCTGCATTTAAGATTAGTCATCTAGAACGTTTCCTGAGCTACCTGAGTAGTAGAGTAGTTGTTTTGCATTTTGCATATCTGTGTAATATTGTCTGCTAATACAAACCATAAATAGGAGGAAAAAAAATTACTACTTTTTTAAAAGGTGAGACTGAACATTAAAAAGCTGGAGGGAGATTATATCTATGCTTCCTCCATGTCAGTTGTCTAGTAGTGTTAGTGGACATGTTCTAATGGGTATATTCAGTAACTTGACCCAAAGTTTATTCAGTAATAAATCACAGTAAAGAAAATATAAAAAAATTAATCCCATAAAATATTATTCATCAGAAACAATGCTTTTCATTGGAACCTGTTGACCATGAATTTGTTCTTTGAAGAAAGGTTTCTCTGGTGTGATGTTGGGGACATTCTCTTTTGTTTTCCCTACAAATGTATCATCAATAACATGGTTGTGAGGCCACTTTATTCAAGCTCATCCTCAATTCTTTTGATCTACTTGTGTAGTGTAAGCTTTTCCTCCATATTCTAGATGAGTGTTGACTCTCTGCAGCTGAATACTCTGCAAGTATTCTTTCTGGGGTTTTTTGATTTTTGTTTGAAAAAAAATCGAAAGGCAAACTTTGGAAGAACTATTAGTGCTGCTTGCCTATCTGCATTTTAAACTTGTTGGTATTTGGTTAAAGCCTCACTGACTGGACACATATACCTACTGAAAAGATGATTATTGAATAAAGAGTGACTTCTGGTCTTAGAACAGCTCCCTGCCTAGGCAATTTCTTTCTCAAGGCTTTCCACTGACAATGTACAGCTCTGTTGAAGACTGGTAGCTGTATTCTCCACTGTGACTTTGTGCGTTTATTCCTTTTAGCCTGGCTTTCTGAGGTGAATAATGTCTTTTCATTGTACCATCTTAGACTTCTCCCTTGATTTAGCAACCCATAAGATCATTTCAAACAGCTTGACAGAGAGTCCAGGTTTCAAAGGTAATTAATTTTCTACCAGTCTTATTAAAATAGCCATACACATAAAGTATATCTCCTATTTAGCAAAACACTGTGATTTGACTTTCCCCTTACTACAAAAGGTATCTTAATATTCAAGTCTGTGGGGGAAACTTTATTTGTAACTTGTGTCCATTCCTAATGACAAAAGTTAATGAACCTCTAGATACAAATGTGTGGGAAATCAGTCCCGACTGCACCTGTTTTATCTACTTTTCATGGTAACAGAGGTTTTTCATTGGGTTGAAGGCAGGGGTGGTGGAAGAGACATCATCTCCATGTCTTCAGCAATACTGACACACATGTAGTGCATAGGTATGTTTTTGCTTTGCACACATCTGTTACAGAATAGTGTTAAACCTAAAAACTGTGGTTATTGCAGTTCTGGAAGAATATAGAGGATTCTGGACTAAGATAAAAAGGTAAAAGACTAATATTAGTAATATTTTGATTTAGATTATACTGCTATCTTTAATTATACTATGATTATAATACAGCTGGACATACCAATCATCGTTTCAATCTGGTTAGTATAGATAAAAGTAATAATGAAATGTGCTGACAAAGGCTTCCATGTGGTCTCTGCAAGTCTTTTCGAACCTTGTGGCTGTACTGTGGTTGCTGGCCTGTACTAAAGTCAGTGCTACCACATTAACACTAGTTACGTGAGCCTCCCTGGACAACTGGAATTCTATTTTATGAATAGATACTTCCTAATTCAAATTATTAAATTTGAAGCAGTTGACATCATGTGGCACCAGGGGGAGTAAATAGGCTATATTTTTGAAGTACTAGTTATTAGGACCTCACTTCATACATGTTTTTTAACAGATTATTTCTGCAAGGCTTAGAGATAACACTGTGTTTCTAAGAAGAAAATTTCAAATATGTTTCATAAATTATGTTAAAAAATAAATAGAATAACTATATTTCATAAATAAAACAGAAGAAGCATATCCTCTACTGATCTCTGTAAAGGGTTGTAGTGTTCTCTTGAAGTATTTCTGCATCAAAAACTTCAGGCAAAGCAAAAATATTAATTCTGTATGAATTTGCATGTCATCTTGAGCAAAGCCCATTCTTATTTCATGAAAAATTAACAATTCATACTGTAGCTTCACTGTATGTACTATCAAAACAAACAGCATTGTTAAAAATAAAAATTTCTACCTCATATTCCTTCAAGGACAGTTAACAAATAGTAATTAACTTACTATGGTTTCTATAGATTACTGAGATTAAGATCAATATCTTGCAGTATATATATGAAAATTGTGTGATTTATTCAGTGCTTATATTTTCATCTGAACTTTCCCAGTCTCTCTGGTCTCTTTCAGTATTCAATATCCCTATTTTTCTTTTCTTTTTTTTTTTTTTCTTTCTGTTTTATCATATACATCTTGCTCTGTTGTACCAGCACTAGCCATCTTAAGTTAATGCCGTAGATACAGAAGGACTACTGTAAATGGGAGCATTTTATACTGAGGGTTATTATTGGCATCCCTGCATGTTTTGATTCTGTAAAAGTTTCCAGTGTCTGGTCAGTGTTACAGCGGGTGTTGCCAGCCTGTCATCTGAGACAGAAATTGTTTGTTAGAGGGTAGTTCTGATTCTAATGCATTCTGTTCCATAATTAATTAGAACTAGCTAATCTGCTTATAAATACTCATCTGTATATTCAATAAAATTGCAAACTCAAGTTGTATGGGTGGGGTAACGTTTTTTTAAAGACAGACAGAAACCCAAGAACTAATAATAGCAAGGGTACTTCTATGAGTTTCATGTCTTTATAAATATTAACAACAAAATTGACATTTTTTGTGTGCTGTGAACCAAAGCTTTAGTCAATTGTTAGTTCAATGACAAGTCTAGCATCGCTTGCCTAATATATTGTAAGCAAAGGGATGGAGGACTTTGCATACTTCTTATCTTGGTTAAAAAATTGAACAAAAAGACTGCAACCACTTTGATCATTGTGCTGATCTTTTCTTCACCATAGTTCCGCTGACTGATCTTGTACAAAGTCACATTTGTAACACCTACATCACAGAAGTCTGAAGGGTGGAAAAATCAACAACAGTATCTATATTTATTATCTCTTATAGAAGGGAAACATGGGACCTGTGGTAAGGTCCAAAAACCTCTCTGAGGAAAAAACAGAGCAGATTAGCCAGAATTGTCATCACTGGATCAGAGATGAATGGTATTAGCAAAGCACACAAATGACCCTGGAATGTGTAGGAAATACCAAAAGTTAGTCTTGGATCTCCTAACTGTAGGTGGTTATGATTGGCAGCTGCTGTAGGGCTGCAAATGTGCCGTTCACCCTTGCAGATCATAACACCTACTGACATAAGCATTTTTAATTGTCTGTCTGACTTTTGGAAGCAGTGTTAATGTCTACCAGGTGCAACAGAGTTGACATGAAAAAAGCTCTTTTATTTCTATGTCTGTGACACAGAACTGGAATCACTATGGAAGGCCCTGGGAAATAAAATGGTGCTGCTTATTGCAGCCTTTGGTAAAACAGTCTGCAGAAAGTCTTTTACCTGTATTTCTGGAACATTCATCTAGCAGCCCAGCACTAGTTCCCAGATTGCACTTAGACTGCTGACATCCTTCCCCGCCAATTCTACAAGCAGCATAACTTCAGTAAATTTGATCTGTTATTGTAGCAAGCCAGCATAGTTAATTCAGTGTTCAGAGGACAGGTGCAGACAGAAATAAAACAATTATGTTGTCCAGCTGAACCTAGCACAGCTCGAAATTACTATGCTTGTAAGAACTAGTAAGTAATTAAATAAGGGCTTCTTAAAAAAACACATTGGGTAAATTGCTGTAATACAGAGTACATACTGAAAGAAACAGAGGGAGATACTAAAGAACTGTTTCTTGGAATCCTCCTCTTGGCTTAAGGGAAAAGGGGGGAGTACAGAAATCAAAGTGGACAAGAAGTGAAATACTTCTGAATGCAGAATATGAACATGTCTTCATTGCAGTGTGTTATCCTTCAAGAATTAATTTTATTTACCGATTTCTTATTATTTCAAATATAATTAACAAACTTCATAGTAGTGAACATATGTTTGGTGTTGCCAGTGAGAAACAGAAGCAACAGAAATAGTGTTCATGTAAGTTTTTTCATTGCCAGTTTTCAAGAGGTATGAAGGGAGGGAAATTTAAATGTAAATTTGGAAGATTCTTTAAAGATTGTGCCACTAGGTAAACATCAGGAGGCCTGACTGGCTTGTTTGGTGCAACTGTACTGCTTGGGCTATCCATTCTGCCTCATGCAGAACTAGGAAGGTGTATTTGTGCAGCATTTCATTCTTCTGTGTACTGCACATGCACTAACTAACACACCGGCTGCTCCTATAGCTGTGCATTATAAGGGAGGGATGAAAGCAGTTCAGTGCTACTTAACCTGCCCATTCTTCCAAGTTGATAATTTTTAAATTTGTGTGAGATATGTAAGAGTCCTAATACAACATTATTTAATACAGCAATTAATGTTGAAGGAGTTGTTTAATATCCAACTTTGCTAATGCTATCTTTGACTTTTCAAAGGGAAGTCACTCTACCAAAGTGGAAGCTGTGGTCCGAACACTGAAGAGAATTCAATTTAAAGATCCAGGAGCTAAATCCTTAGTTTTCTCAACGGTATTAATCACCATTTTCTGTCTTGTCTTTGTGCGTGTGTGAGTTTAAAGAGGTCAAAATATTTTCAGGAATTAGTTTCACTACCAAAATGTTGAATCACTCTGTACAGCCACCTGATTGTTTTGAGAATTTGTAGTGCAGTTCATGTAACTGGGACATGAACAATGATCGTAGTCAACAGATGTAAAAGCTTGTTTCTTTAAAGGGCAAACACTTAGATTGACATGGGAGCATTAGAAATTCTAGATATTTTGAAATGTAATGTCCAGATATTTTTGATACATTGTAAAACTGGTTTTGTGATGGCTACCAATTTCTTTTATTCAGGCTAATCTTTTTAATTACATTTTTTCTTTATTTTTATGAAAGATTCAGTTTGTGACACACATCTTTTTTCTTTGTCTTTTTTTTTCCTTTTTTTAAATTGCAAATACTAGTATTTTGAATGCCCTTTTTATCTACTCTTTCTTAGGGAAGTTAATTAGTATATTTTAGCTGTCATTGCTGCTTGTAATGTTGAGTTACTTCATTGTATTGTGTGTTTTGTTTTTGTTTTTTTACAGTGGCAAGATGTGTTGGACATAATTTCAAAAGCTTTATATGACAACAACATGATTTTTTCTCAGATCAATGGAATTAGTAAATTTCAGGTACATAAAGGATATTTTTCTTAAAATTATTTTCAGTGGGGAAAAAGTTAATTTGATCCTTTTACTTCATTGCTTCATTTGAGAAACTGAAAGAGCAGCAAATTTGTTTGGCAGAAGCTTTGAACTCTAACTCATTCATTCTAAAAATCATAATCACAAAAAGACACAATTTAAACTCTTTGGAGGTAAACAGTACATTCACTTTTGAGAAAGAAGCATTGGCATGGATGTTAAAGATGAGACACACTGATCGATGTTGCAAGAAGTTCTTGCCTTCCTGATACCTGTCAAGTATCTGTTCTGGGATGACAGGTCTAGGATTGCTAAGGCTGCAAGATTGTCTGTAGTAGCTGCTATAATTTCTTGAAAATGTAGAGATATCCCCCACACTCTTTTTTGAGGAACTTTTGTCATGCTTCTGTGGTGTTTGCCTTTTAGGAAAATCTCTCTGCATTTAAATATGATCCCAACATCAATATTTTGCTGCTGCCTCTTCACACTGGTTCCAATGGACTAAACATCATCGAAGCAACTCATGTTCTGCTTGTGGAACCCATTCTGAATCCTGCACATGAGCTACAGGCTATTGGCAGAGTACATCGTATTGGCCAAACAAAGTAAGAGTTGAAATTGCACTGAGTAGTTTAATCGGAATAAATCTAGTTCACTGAACTTCTCAACTTTGGAGATGAGGGTATTCACAGGAATCCTGTTTTTAAAGATGATCATATAAAGGACTGAAAGATAAAAATAATTAAAAAAAAAAAGTTCTCTGAAGATACACATGTATTTTAGGTAGTTCTTTTGTGCAACAGGGGTAAGAAGCAGAAGCAAATTGCATTTAGGTATATAGGAAGAGTGTAGGCTCTTGAGTCCAAAATCCTGAAAACCTTTGTTCAGCTGCTGCCATATTTTATGTATGCCATTGATGCCTTAGTTTTAACTTTGAAGTTCTGCTTGTTAAGCAAGTCCAGAAATGTCTTACCTTTGCAGGTCTGAGCAACTCACCATTTATGTAATCTATGGCTAAGTTTAGGCACGGCCCTTCCTAGTTCCATTGAGAGGCTCCTAGCTGGTCACTCCCAGCTCCAGACTAGGAGCTGTGTAAGTTTGGGGGGGGGGGGGGGGGGGGGGCGGTGTTGTTTTGTTTTGTTTTAGTTTTCCAAAAAGCAAGTTCTAGCACATGCTTTTTAGAACTGATTAATTTTTAAACCACAGTTCTGCTCTCACCCCTGTCTAAATCTTTTTGAAGACATTAATGAGTTTGCATATTTCTTGTTTGTTTTAGTGTTGCAGATTTTACATGGGTAGTACTGAATGCTTAACAAAGGTTTTGGAAAGTTTCTCCTGAACGGATATGAGCTATATGCTTTTCTGTAGGTTTCATGTCACTTGAAAAAATAATTTAAAAACCCTGCACATGAAGAAGCAAAATAGCTGGAATCAATTCTGGAATAATAATATTCTAGAATAATAGTGGAGTTTGTGTTCTGGAAGAGGAGGCAAAGTGAGAGGGCATAAGTGAGCATGTATATGAAAGAATGTTTATGAACAGGTGGATATTTGGGTGTGTTGGTAAAGAGTTTTGAATTAACTGTGAGGGCATAGGAAAGATTGATTGCAACAGCCTGCATTATTATTTCACATGATGCTGGCACAAAATATCTGGCAAAAACCTTGCAATAAAACCAGCAAGAACGTGTGCTGTACTTCTTAAGAATAAGACTTCTGCAGGGCTCATTTGAAAAAGGCCTGTGTCCAAATACAGTGAGCATAAGGGAATATTCTGTTCACTGGTACAACTATTACTAGTTCAATTGAGTTCTTATTTGCATCTCGTTTTTGGGGTAGACTGCCTATCAATCACAAAGTATTCCCCCAGCATTCCTCTGTGTAATGCTACCTTCCAAAGTTTCAGCTTAAGATCTGAAAAGCATCCAAGCACTTTCAGGGGTTCATATCTTGAAAAATGTTTATACTGGGGAGCCTGGAGTGATTTTTCATTTTTATCTTTGGAGCAGACTTTTTTCCATTTCACTTTCTCATGACTGACATTTCTTTTTTTATTAAATATTTATTTTTGAAATTTTATTTTGTAAATGGAGTTCATTTTGTTTTGTGTTTATTGACGTTTTGAGTTTTATGTTTACTGGTGTTTAGAATTGCATGTTTACTGACTACAATTACTGACCTTTTTTTTGCCATCTTTAAGAGCAATATTGTTAAAACTCTGGGAAGGAGCTTTAATTATCCATCACACCAAGCTCTGTCTCTTGGACTGACAAGTGACAATGCAGTATAAACACTGTCTATAACTAGTGGGCCAAAGTAATTTCTTTGAACGACAGTCTAGGTTCTTAAGGACTGTTTCTTACACTAGGGACACAGAAAGCAGAACTTCCCTCAGCATCTGCTATAGGATTTTAGTTAGTACAGCTTATATTCATTTAGTATATGATCCAGACAAGTGGAAGTGTGTGCTCTGGAAGGCACTTAGCATCCTTAAATGTCAGTGGTAGTTGTTAATCACCTTGTAAGATTTCTTTCTCAAAATACAGAGGCATTTTTTCAGCACTCTTGCAATAATTGATGAGAGACAAAAATGTCATCTTGAACTTTGACAGTAACAGTATCACTTGCACTTACTTCTGATCTTGTTTTCTTTTTTTAAACACATTCAGATCTACCATTGTTCATAGGTTCCTGATAAAAGCAACAATAGAAGAGAGAATGCAGACTATGCTGAAAACTGTAGATAGAAGGTATGTGTTGCATTTCTTTAAAACATCATTATTGCACTGAAAATGAAAAGCTGGTTTTCAACCGTACTTCTGTTACAGTTAGGTATGCAAATCTTACATATAAACTTTAAGTGTTTTCCTTCAAATTGTTTTGATTAACAAAATAGTTTTAAGACTTGGAAAATTTATCTTTTAACCTGGTTCACGTAACTTTAAACTGCAAGTATTTAAATTCTCTGGAGAATATTTTGGTTATATTTTGTATATATTATATCTTAAAAGCCCAATTAATAAATTATGTGTTATGATTTATCTTTTCAGTTTACCAATTCCCATTACTATAAAAGCATTGCCTTTAGTGAAGTCTTCCACTAGAGTAACAGCATACGTTATAAGCTCTAATATAGGACATTAATTATTTTTTTCATTATTTTTAAATTCTACAAACCTAGTCTGTCAGTGCTGTGTCACACTGGTTGGTTTTGCAGTCAGTGCAAGAGCTGTCCAGACGCAAGCTCCTAAGTCAGTCTGGTGTGCAGACACAGAAAGCAGTTTTCACAGTGTTTATCTTTTCAGAATCTATAAGCAGTGACAGACTGGGAGTGGAGCAAAAGTAGTATTTACATTCTCTATGCAGAAAGTATAAGAGGTTTATACCTCTTTAACTATACTGCATACACATAACAAATCTCAGAGGAGGCCTTAGTTTAGGAAAATTAGTTATTTTTCCAGTTTTTTGGCTGTTACAAATTATGAGGCTAAGAATTTACATGCATATCTTTGGCTGTAGTTACAAATGATTTCAGCTTTAGCTTTGAAAGAATGATTTAATCAGTTTCCATATCTGTAAAGTAACATTACTTCTGCATATAAAATTCAGGTAAATATACAGTGGTTAAATGATCCAATGAGGGCTAATTTTTTGCAAGTAATATCAAATCTTACACTTGGAAGCTGAAGCCAATCCCTTAAATGTTAAGAGGGCAAAGCGGATTATCCCATGTTCTGCTGCCTCTGCAGTGTTTGGTGTTGACCACTGTTGGGGACAGTGCATAGACTTTGTATCTTAGAATGTGCAAGAGGAGTACCTGATCGGTGTATTTTACCCAATAGAAAGTGTGTTTTCCTGATCAGCTTCAAAGCTGAACGGTTAGTGGACTCTGAACTACATGGTCTGTCTTCAGCACGTACAGCTTGTTACTTAAATTGATTCCTTCTCTGATGTCTGCATGCAACTTTTCCCCACAGCCACACGAGCTCTTCCATGAAACAGTCAGAAGCCTCAGTTCTGACAGTGGCAGATTTGGCTGACCTTTTTACAGAGGAAACTGAAGAACTTGAGTAAAACATTGGTTTGGCCTAATGAAATCAGAAAGTACCTGACATAGTAAGCACCCGTATATAATCCACTTGATGTGTCATTTCCTGTAAACATCGTCTAACATTTGTCCATAACAGAGCTATTGGAAATCGAAAAGTCTTAATTGTTACTGGTTTATTCTGTGGTGAAATTCCTAGCAGCACACGCTTCTGATAGCACTGGAGAAAACTTGCACTTTGCACATTATACAAAAACATGGATTTTATTCCCAAAGAGCACTTGAGCTGGATGCTAAAACTGAGATTTTGGACCCTTGGTTGAGAGGATTTTTACCATCAGGTTGATTGGCTAGTAGCTCAGACTGAGAGCAAAACTTTGTGGGTGGTTGGGTGGGAAAGGGAAGCAGAAAAACACTAAAATCTAATTTTTTTTACTGTACAAAGAAATGTTAGAAAGAATGACTGTAAATTAATATTCTTCTAGAAAGGGCTTGTTAGCATTTAATGAAGAGTTACTGAACATCTTACTGGTAATACTTTAAATGACTAATCTTTACTAATAATTTGGATATTTGTATTAGGCTTTTTAGATATTCATAAAGACTTGTGACAGTTAAAAAATTCATTGTTAATGCTTACTCACTGCAAAAGGATGATAATTAAATTATGCTTTTTGTATGTGTGTTGGTCGGGTAATCAGTTAAATACTTGAACTTACTGTACATGTTTTCACTTATTATTGAAGCCATGGCTAATTGAGTGCTTCGTTTAAAAAAAAAAAATAAGTAATGTATTTGTTACAGAATTTTTTAAAAATTGTTTAAGCTGCTGATTACTTCATTTGACGTTTGTGTACATTTTCTCACACTGATTTATTTTTTTTTTAATCTAGTTCTCCCCCTTAAAGATCCAACAATCTAAATATTCAAACTAGATGAAATTAAGGTAGACAGTCTGATTACTAGGTACCTAATCTAAGTTAGATAATCAGTGGAGAGAGATGAAACTTGTGAAACTTCATCCTTAGATATGCATGATCACTCTACCCCATCTCTATTGACAGTAGAGAGTTTAGAAAACAAATGTAGGCTAACTTTTAGATTGCTGAAAGTAGGCAAGATAAATTGTAAGCTTTTTGGCATAGGTTATGGATACACATTTACATAACATGATTTCTGAAGGTATTACAGAAGCAAGCTCAGTTATGCAGTTGATGTTAAACATAATTTTGTGTTTAGAGACTGGGCAAATGTGTATGAATAAGCATCAGGCTACTTCCCTCAAATTACAATATTTACTGTTTCAGAAGACAATGGTTTATGTATTTTAAAAATCTTACTTGAGGTTGAAATTAAAATGTGTCCTTTAAGAAATTTCATCTTAGAATTTTTACTCTAATTATGTCTGCTAAATAGATTTGCATATTGAGCTTTTTGAGTTCTGTTTACAGTCATACTTTGTTTGAGTTGCACCATTTGGGTATTAAGCCTATCCACATGGTAGACAAATTTTCTGCTGCTGACAACAAATGTGAGTAGAATTTACATGAATAATATTGTATCAAGAAGTGTTTTTTTGGCATTTATAGTCTGTTGTCCTTCTGGAACAATTAGATACTTTGTTCTAAAGACTATTTGAGTAAATTTACAGACAATATATCTTTATTTCCCATATTTGTAATATGTATTAGTCTTACACATTTTGTTTTGGAGATTACTGATTTTCTGAAGATCACAGTTTGCAGCAAAGGAAATAGAATAGATAGTAGACTTTTTAAAAATTATATTGATCAAATGATTTGCACAGAGGCTGTGACTTCTCCATCCTTGAACGTATTGGGAACTCAGATGACCCTAAGCAACCTGATCCAGCTTCAGAGTTGGCCCTGCTACGAGTGGTGTGTTGGACCAGATGACCTCCATGGATCCCTTCCAGCCTAAATTATTCTACAGTGTACTGGAGATCATGCTGTACAGACACTCCAGGAACTCCGAGGGCAGCAACATTCCGGTTTCCTCATCATCCTCAGAGAATTTTAATATTGTACAACAAAATGTGATTGAACAAGGCGCTGCTGTTCACTCTGAGAAATTATATATCTATGTTAAAAACTGTGGAAGCATATAGTGTTTACATTCATAGCTCCCATTTTAAATAATTAGATGTGGGAATAATAGTTGTTAGTGAATGTTGAAGACAGAGAAGCAAACTGAAAAATACCTGCTATGAGAGGTTTCCCAAGCTCTGCAAGTTTTTGGCTTATTTATATAAAGATGGTGGTTTCATTGTTTATTTACAAAAATATGGCTTTTAAATTCCTAACCAAAAGCATAGCTTCTCATCAAGCAGTGCATGAGTCTTCAGTCCTGACATTTTTTTTTTTTTAATGCTTACATAACAGCATGAAATGCCAGAGATCTGGTTCTAGGCACTCTTCCAACTGCCCTGGAGTGCCAGGACCTCGAGCTCTGGAGGTATAATGTTAAAATGTGTATACTCACCATGTTAAAGGGCTTCTTGAAATTGGAAGGTTGAGCCATTGGAGGATATAGACTGTGTTAGTAGTAAAATGGATCCTTCAAGTTTCACATAATACTAAGTACGGAGACTAACCTTAAAAAGTTATTTTTAAAGAGAAACCAAAGTGTAATTTAGTCCTTTTTGCCAATCTTTGCAACTTTTAGTTTATTTGACAAAAGTTTTCTTTCAGACAACTTAAGACCCCTCATGAGGTGAACTCTCTTTTTTTTTCTTTTTTTCTTTTTCTGCTAAGGGTGTAGCTTGTATGTCTGCAGTGCTTTTCTCATATCAAAGCACAGTAAGCCTGTTTTCACAGTGCTGCTATGATTTTGCTCTCTATCAGGAGAAGATTCTTTTGAAAGACAGTATCTTAGCTGAGAATAAGCTTTGCTCTACTGCAAAAGTTCCAATAATGTTCATAGAAATGGCATTTTCCACAGAAGACAGAAATATATAAATACTGACTGCAGTGTTTACATAATATTTGTGTGGATATACCCAGAGTCATGTACCAAATTCTCTTATGTTCTCCTGCTAAAACACGTAAATGTCTTCCAAGTTGACAGGATTGTTTATCCAGTGAAGTAGGTCCCTTTAAAGATGAGGCTCTAAGTGATTCTAAAGAACTCACTGCTGACCTTTCATCTCTTTCAGTTCCATGACAAATAATGTTTGGAGTTTTTTTGACTGGAGTTGGTAAAGCCTTCAGGACAGGTTCATTTCCCTGTGTGTAAAAGTTCAGTGCCTTGTAGAACAGAGCTGTCATGTTATTTAGGTGTCTGTAAACACTTGATGGAAATTGTAGACTTCCTTGAACCACACAGTACGATCGTGTTGGAAACTAAGGAGTGGATTCCTTTGTAGTGTTAAATTAAGCTCTGTGAATTTCACCATGGATGATTAAATGAGTTTATAAGTTAAGGTCCTCCTTGCTCTCTAAATCAGTCTATGCCAGGAAAAGGTTTTCATTTTAACCTGTTAGGTAACTTTTTAGCATACTAATGAAAGTCTGGGATACACTGTAGTTTTCATGCAGGTCAGATACGATAAAACAATAATGCGTATGAGAAGACTGAGGTAAATACAATTGCATATTAAGGAATGAACATAAGAATTGATGATGCTTTTTGTGAGATAGGTCTTCCAAAACCACTTTTCTGCCAGTATCTGTAGATGTATTTCAGTTTCCTGCCAGCAGAGTGTCCTCTACTTCAAAAGTAACTGTGTGTAAAAGTAATTGTTCAATACAAATGTGAGTGGGATCCTACAGAAGATGCATAGTTGTTTCTGATTAAAACCATAATTAGACATACTTCCTCCTGTAAGATTCTGTCTGGATTAGTGGCTGAGGACCAGTTAACAACTCTACCACTGTCATTTCTGACACAAACAATGCTGTTCTCTTTCCATCCCTTTTTGCAATCCATATGACTATATTCTGTTTTCCAGGAGTCCCAGAATTATTTGTTTAATTAGCAGCTGTGTTTCAGTTAAATTGGAGGGGTAAAAGTGTATTGGTTAATCTTGCATTGGCCAATGTAAGAAAAATTAACGTTGAAATTTATTGCTTCCTCAAGGTAAGGAATTAGATGACTTTCTAAAGGCAAGTCTGGGGTTTTATTCTAGCTATAAATGGAGCCTGTTCCTGAAGCTTAATCTAAAGACTGTTTAAAATCTGCATGATAAGCTTCTCTACAGACTGAAAGGCTAGTTGCAAAGCTACTGTGCCTGTGCTTTTCTTCCTTTTTTGGTTGCCTGAAATAAGTGAAGTCTTTACAAGATTATATACTATAAATGTAGGTTAAAGGAATTTCATACTGGAGAAAAAAGGAGGTCCAAGCATCCCTGTCTCTCCCTCTCTGTCTGCATGTCTCCTTTTCTCAGTGTCTGTCATTTTGTCCCACCCCTGCCCGCCCCCATCCACCCCTAGCTCACTCGGTTTGTTACACAGGATGTTTGTGTTTGGTCAGCGGAGTCAAATAGTCATTATCCATAAAATGGCTACAGTAAAACTAGCTTACTGTGTTGGGGGTAAAGGGAATTATAGCATAGTATAAATTACTTTTTGCATCTGTAATGTCTTCATTTACCCCTGTTCTTCACCACTGTAGAAGCAGATGTTGAATTTCAGTCTGCTAACTTTTACATTTCTGGTTTTATATTGCATAGCTGACATATAAAAAGGATCTGGTAATCTAAGTACTGAGCAGTGAGGCTTACAAGTTTTTAAAGTCTATAGGTTTTAGATACATAAAGTGCACCTGAACCACTATCACAGGTCCCAGTGCATCCCACTGTCTTGTCTTTTCTTCTTTAGCAGAGGAAAAAAGGATAACTACTGAATCACTGTAGTAGTGAATTCAAGTCCCAAATAGTCATTCTACATATTCTACAGTCACATACCATGTAAAGAGGACAGTTAATTGAACTTGTGGCTTTTAAATGTAGTTAAGGATTTAAGTCATCTGGGGAGGGGGGAGGTAAATGACATAGGGTTTCTAAATACTAGAATAATTCTACTTCAAAAATTAGGACATGAGATATCTGTAAACCTCTGGCTCAGTTTCCTTCTATAGACAAGGTGTCAGCCTTCCAGGGCTTAAATTCTAAGTCCCTTTGTTTTTTTGTATTTGCCCATTCATTCAGCTGGACACATACCAAATTTTACCAGTTTAGGAACAGATGTCAGTTTTTCCGTGACTTAACATCTCTTGGTTTGGTAGCAACCTTCACATCAGGTAGAAACTACTTTTCCAAATTCTACCAAGTGTTAGATCTGACTGCTTATAGGGTGTCTCAAAGTGTAAGTTGGCTTAGAGAATTGGGGGCATTTTATGCCACTTTTCCTCCCACCCTGTGGGGGCTAGTGAGCCTGCAGGGTTCATGCTGTGTTGCTGTGAATTGTCCCCTCTTTATGCTAACTGGTTATCATCATTTGTCAAAGAACCTTTGTTGCTGTATCTAGGCTTTCTCTTGACCATGTCACCTGGATAAAGAAGAAAATCTAGGCTGCCTTTCATGTTATCCTGATGGAGTTTTGTCCTGCCGTTCTTGAAGTCCCTGGAGTCTGAGGACCACAAGTGTGGGAATGGTGACTTTCCATTTGTGGATGCTGAATCTGTAAGGGATCAGCTGAATGTTCATAAGTCCATGGGGCCAGATGGGATTCATCCCAAAGTTCTGAAGGAGCTGGCAGATATTATGGCAGGATCCCTCTCGATCATCTACCAAAGGTCTTTGGAGTCTGGGGAGTTCCCTGCTGACTGGAAGCTAGCCAGTGTTATTCCAATTTACAAGAAGGACATGAGGGAAGACCCAGGTAACTACAGACCTGTTAGTTTAACCTCAGTTCCTGGAAAAATTATGGAGATTCAATAGTACCAGGCATAAAGGCATTTACAGAATCATGCAATCATCAGGCATAGTCAACATGGGTTCACAAAAGAAAAGTTCTTTTTCACTAATTTTATATTGTTCTGTGACAATGCTACCCCACTTAGTGAGCGAAGGGAAGGTGGTGGATGGAGTTTTTATGGATTTTAGTAAGGCTTTTGATAATGTCCCTCACAGCATCCTGCTGGACAAGTTGTCCAGCTGTGGGATGAGCGGGTTCACGGTGCGCTGGGTGAGGAAGTGGCTGAAGGGCAGAGCTCAGAGGGCTGCAGTGCATGGGACTACACCTGGCCGGTGGCACCAGTGGTGTTCCTCAAGGTTCAATTCGGGCCAGTTCTGTTCAATATATTTATCAGTGATGTGGATACAGGAGTTGAGTGCACCATTAACAAGTTTGATGATGATCCCAAACTGGGAGGTGCTGTTGACTCTCTTGAGGGGCAGGAAGCCTTGCAGAAGGATCTAGATAGATTGGAGCACTGGGCTATGATTAATGGGATGAAATTTAACAAGTTGAAGTGCTGGACCCTGCACCTGGGACATAACACCAGGCACAAGTACGGAATGGGAAAGGAGTGGCTGGGGAGCAACCCTGCAGAAAGGGATGTGGGGGGGGGCTGGTCAGCAGCAGGCTCGGTGTGAGCCAGCACTGAGACCTGGCAGCCCCGAGGGCAAACCCCATCCTGGGGTGTGTCAAACACAGCATAACCAGCCAGGCAAAAGAGGCGATTATCCTGCTATATTCAGCACCGGTGCAGCCTCACCTTGAGTGCTGTGTGCGGTTGTGGGACCCATGATTTAAGAAAGATGTTAAAGATCCCTGAATGCATCCAGAGGAGAACAACAAAGCTGGTGAAAGGGCTGGCAGGCATGTCCTCTGTGAGGTGGTGAAAGACTTTGGGCTTGTCTAGTTTGGAGAAAAGGAGGCTGAAGGGCAACATCATTGCTCTCTACAGCTTCCTAAGCAGGGGATCTCTCTTCCATGGTATCCAATGCCAGGACACATGGGAATCGTTCAAAGCTGTGCCAGGGGAGGTTCAGGCTGGACATCAGGAAGCATTTCTTTACTGAGAGGGTGGTCAGACACTGGAACAGGCTTCCCAGAGAGGTGGTCGATGCCCCAAGCCTGTCAGTGTTGAAGAGTCATTTGGACAATGCCCTTAACAGCATGCTTTAACTGTTGGTCAGCTCTGAATTGGTCAGGCAGTTGGACTAGATGGTCATTGTAAGTCCCTTCCAACTGAAAATATTCTACTTTATAAGAGAACGGCACTTCAAATGCCAAGGTGCGTTAAACCATTTTTAATGGCTTGTTCTGCACTAATAGAGCATATGCATATATTCATATACATACTCAGTATGTCATCTTGGGCAACCAAATAATTACTATTAAAAATTCAATATTGATATAGGGTCACTGCTCTGCTAGGTGCTTCATATGTATTTATAAAAAATCAGCTTTGGGGTACATTGATAAGATAGGGAATCCATTTTATAGAGAATGGACAAAGCCATTATATTTGACACATTTCTCATTCTCCCTCTGTGACATTGTTTTCCCTTTTCCCTACACGTAGTTGACTTGGTTTGTACTCTCTTCTGCACTGTAGGCTTTGAAGCAACACTAGAACAAATGGTGAGGGAATAGATGGTACACTTGACTGAAGTGATGAGCACCTACTTTTACATCACAAACATGGTGGTTTACTTAAGCAACGTGGAAGTCAACCTAAGTCTTTCTGGGGGGATTATTTTTGTGTAATTTCCAAACATTCCTATGGGCCTGTGCAACAATAATTCCTGGGAATGCCTCTTATATTTCCCCTTTCACAATCCTGTGAATGGGAAATCTTGGCTGCAAAAAGTTTTTGATCTTCTGTTTGTTAATATAAAGACCGTTTCCTGCTCACAGAAGGGCATTTGCTCATAAAATGGCAAAGAATTTTGCTAATTATTCCTTCTCTCATATATTTTAATGCACATTTATATTACAAGAATGTGTTCAGCAGCTGTAAGCAGCAGAATTAGTTTCTGTTCCAGCTTTTCCCAACAACTTTCCCAACTGGAAAGTAAACCAAAGTTGTGCAGCTGTAGAACTAACAGCTCCTCTCTGCAATGTTTTCTTTGATATGGGGCACTTTTAAAAATATACACACTCTTTATTCTGCAGCAGATATACCTAAATATGACATAAGATCTTCCATAGTGTACTACCATTCTCTTAAATGCATGCCACCTTCATAACGCTAACCTCCAAATACCACAGAGAGCATGCTGTGTGTCTGGTCCACCCAGGAAGGGGATCAGCATCAAGGAAAGGACATACATGTGGTGTTCCTCTTCTAGTCTTCTACAAAGTCTTAGTAAAGCAATGTAGGACTTTGTGGAAATGAATATACTGTGCTAACTGCTGCCACCATCCTCAGGTCTTGAAAGCAGATCTGATGAAAAGACGTTCAGTCATAGAGCTTCTCTTACAGAGGTAGAAAGCCCAGAGCACTTCACCTCCAGCCAGAGAAGAGATGGAG